GGGGGTGGGGGGTGGGGGAGGGGGGCAAGGGGCTTCCATAGTTAAATGCCCAACTTTTCACATAATACAGCAAGTACAGAGGTTAATTCTATCTCAGGGATTATAAACAAAATAACAATAATATAAAGAACTATTCTGCTATCAGTTAACATCTTTTAATCACAAATTTATTTGATATGTATATATATATCAGTTCATTAAAATGGTTTTCCAATATACCTAGTATTGTATATATAACATTTTGAAATGTTATATATACAATAGGTTATGTATAGGTTTGAACAATTAAAATTGTTCAAACCTATTTATTCTACACTGTACCAGTTAAGAGGGGTCCAAATATAAGGTGATATATCAAAATGTATTCTAGTCAATAATACTTTCACGATTATTAATATCATCCCATTTATTCTCTTTTATCAGCAAATCATGACGCTGTCCATGGATGCTAATCTTAAAAAAGTGGCTCATAGAGGTCAGTGGTACTATGACCAACAACAGGGAACTTTCCAATTGCTACAGGATTTTAAAGCAGTAAGATAGATCTTTACTACAATATTATACCAGTGGTTAAGACTTCTTTACCTCTTTAGACTTTACACAACGATTATAAGGAATTACTAACTATAAACAAGGACATTACATGAAGTTACCGAAAAAAGCTGGTGAATATTTAAGCGTCCCCAACTAGCTCATTGTTGTTGTATTTATGGACTTATTTTCAAAAACCTCATCAGTCATCTTAAAGGTACATACGAACTGAGCATCGGTGGAGCGTGGATTCCCAGTAACACATGTAAACCACTTCTACTATTCGACATGCCAAGGGATACACTGAATAGATCCCTCTATCAGCCATAAAAGACCTTTAGACTGCTCTTTTCTTTAAATTTTTGGTTGGAAATTTAACCTACTTTCGTGACCTACTTTTATGCCCCATTGACATACACCTTAGAATGCCAGCAGGAAATTCAATTCAAACATCATTTTCGGGTAAAATTAAACAATGCCTTTTAGCAATTCTCTTAGTTATACTACTTGAAACTATATGCTGGCATTTGGTTGATTTTTGTGACAAAAAATTGACTTTGTATGCATCTTTAATAATTTTTCTTGCAGGGCGTACAATACCAGATCACCAATGGTGGACCATGTGTTAAGAGCAAGCTGACACAACCATGGATGGGCTGCATCCCTAGTGTGTATAACCTTTGGCCTTTACCTTTGACCCTGACAGCTTAAATCTGTGCTCTATTTTGAATTATTAAAGAAATAAGAGGAGTTTGGGACTCTTTCATATTTATTTCAGTACACAATTTTTCATAAGTCTTATAATAACTAAAATGTTATAGAAGCATTGCCATTTATTTAAAAAAAAGCTGAAATAAGCATTTATTTTTAAAAAGATGCAATCTTTTCACAGATCATAATTTTGAAATGTCTGATTATCTAATAATTGAATTATAATTTATATTAATATTTTATTATCAGCAAAGGAAAACAGTGGGGGAAAAGTATTTGTTAACAAAAAAATTCTTTCACCAGTTTAACATATTTGCAAAGTGAGTGAAAATCATTATTCTATATAATCACAGAGACTTCCAAATTCATGGGCAGTGCTGTGTTGGGACTTGGTGACGATAGCATTAAAGTCAACAACTGGGCCATCTTCATGAACTCCAGCTCTCTCATGGGGACGTCTTACACACAAGTCACTGCCAAAGACTGTGTTCCCATTGGCAGCACGTTCCAAGGATCAGCTAAAGGAGGTAGGGCTGCATTATCTTTGATAACCTTGAGAATGCCAGTCAGAGCCTAAGAGAAAAGTGGCACTTTTCTGGGGGTGAAAACTTGTGCATTTGACATGGGGTGTTATGTTATCATCTCCTCCCCACACCTCCCCCACCCCCCACCCCCCCAAAAAAAATAATAAGAAGAAATGGGGTAGGGTGATCCATGCTCAAAATCATCTGACCCCATGTTTGCCTTATTTGTCCTTATCAGTGATTAATTAGTACCACCAGCGTGTATGCTGGCAGTTCTCATGGTTTTAGTTAAACCCTTCTCGTACAGCTCCGCCGGCTCCGTTGGCTCCGCAGGGTGATGTGGGATACAAGTCACCGTTATCGCTTCTCCTCCTAGACTGCAAGGACCTGTGTCCCCATCTCTTTGATTTAGGTCACATATAATCTCAACTTAAACCCCCTGTTTAAAGGAACTGTGGGGAAAATTACTTCAGAAGTCTGACCAAAAGTCATGTGGAGATTCCAAATATGCCCTTGGATTTGACTTTAGACCTTTATTTCAAGGTCAAATGGGCCAAAATTTTAAAAAAATTGGAAATTTCTACAAAAAATATTTTTGTACCAATTTTCAGAAACTACGCAGACCTAAGCTCTCATATTATAGTGAGGGGTTACAATCAGGAACTCCTTTCATCTTTGGGAGTTTGGGGTCAATCGGTGCATTTTCATGGGAGAAGCAGCCATTAGATACCGAAACTGAAAACTCTCTCTAATTCTGGAACTGTAAATGCTAGAGACTTTTTGTTTTTTGCAAAGGCGGACAGGTTCCAATGCCGAGCCCTGTAAGCCCCAATTTCATCTCTGCTAGTTAAATAACGTTTTTTTTTTCTGATGAACTTTCAGTTGGCATGATGTCGGTGCAAGGAGTGACTAATGTTTCAGCAGGAATCAAGGACCCCAGTGTCTTTTCCTTGCCTGCAAGCTGCCAGAAAGCAAAGGAGGCAGATGAGAAGGACAAGGTAAACTCTTGACCATTGTTAGCAATAATGTTCATTAGCTTGGTAGTTGGGTCTTATACGTATGATAATTTTCAAAAATGCGGTCAGTTAGTAACAATATCTGCTGACATCAGTCTGATGAAGGCCTGTGTCCAGGTTGACTGTAAGCTTACAGTATGAAAATATTTCAGCTTGTGTTTTATAAGTATCATGTATGATCTTAAATGTCGTATTTTGTCCAGGATAGTAAATTTTCATCCCTGTACAGATATTCTAATATTGTCTATGGAAATGTGAAGTATTTTATCCAAGATTTTGTCGAAGACCAACTCACACTACATATCAAACAATTTGGTTATGTAGACCTAATTATGTGTGTGGGTGTGCACGCACACAACTTATTAGGTCTACATAACCAAATTACATGTATGTGTGTGTGGGTGTGCACGCACACACACACACAAGGGGGCATGCAATTACAGATGCGCACATCTTTAATTTGACAACTTTTGCAATGAAACAACACTGACAATACAGGGATAACAAAGAGTGTTAAAGTTCCTTCAAAATTTCCTTCAATTTTGTCTTTCAGGACAGCAGCATGGACATCCGTCTGTTCTAAAATGTCTGATGGCATGATAACATTTCTAAGGATCACTGAGCACTTCACTTCTAACAGAAAACTATCAGAGGACTGTTCATTAGACACCTGTCCACATATTTTTTTATCATAAGTGTACCAAATTCTTAAGAATTATTGCTGCATAGCTGATGTAAACTTTTTTTTCCAATATTATAAGCTTCTCTGAAATATCATGCATAGTTTTGTTGTTCACTCGTGACATTCCCAATTTTCACACAACATTGAATGATTTTGTGGCATCTGATAAGTTTTAAATTTCTAACAGTTCCTAAAATTATGAAATACTTAAAATTTTGTTGTGAATGTCAAACCTACGAGGCTACGAGCACATATCCATATCCAAGAAGTTACTATAAAGGAATGCGAAAGTGAATGTCACAGTGATGAATTAACAGACTGAGTGTTCTAAGTTTGTTTTTTTTTTTTTTTGGTTTTTTGAGCTTATTGCTACTTATAAACATGTATGTTTATATATTCAAGAAGTGTACACAAAGAATAACTAAGTGAAGTAGTTAGCAATCTGTGCACTAAATATTTTTAAGAGTATGCCTGTGACCTCAGTTGCATCTCTATATTGGGCTTGGGTGTTATTATCCCAAAAGATCAAAATGGTGTAAAAAGTGTCATAATTAAGAGATACATTTGGTTTGTCTGTGAGGTTTTAATAATACTATTGTCTGTAATATTTTGATAAGAACATTGGGGGGGGGGGGGGAACAATTTATACATTTTGTTTAAAATAAAGATGTATCAGTTATATTAAAAATAAACATTATCTACAAATTTGGTAAAGTGTTTGGTATTATGTTCTGCTGCTGTCTGTCCACTCATAACCCACTAGTCCCTCTCGCTCACTCTTGCTCTTTCTCCAGTAAAGGTGGTTCAAAATTCAACATTTGTACTCAAATAAAAATGCACTCCCATTTTACCATCTTGCTCTCCAACTGGCGAAGACTATCGTAAAGCAATTAGATTACACCTAATGAAAATGATTTTGTATGATATGATCTGTTATCAGCTAAACTAAAAACAAAGTGAAAAAGCTACCAGAAGCCGAGCACACATTAAGCACTCTCTAATCGCTCTAGGTTATTGCAAAGCAATAAAAACAACATCATTAAGGGTTATCCTGGGGTCAATCATAAATTTTTCCACATGCCATACCAATACCCAATGCTTTTTTTTTTTTTTTTTCATTTGGTAAAAAAAGAATAGATTTCCACAATTTAAGAGTAGCTAATGCTCGTGTCTAATAAGCAAGTTTAATCAAATTATATGTTCTACAGACTAATTTGTATGATGACGATGAGGGGTTATAAGGAATAAAGACATACTGAATAAAGAACTTTGAAACCTGAAGATGATATTTGCATTTATTGATCACACAAAGTGGAAGTTTTACAAAAAATAATTAGAAACTGAATGTTAAATTTTGCATTATAAAGGCCATTTTTATACTTGCCTGACCACTGTTCTTTCTTTAAAGAAAGGTGAAATTCAATTCAAAGACCTCATTCTAAAATACTGAAAAAATGTTTTTCCCACCAGAGAACTTATTTTAACTTCTGACAGAATCAACATTTTAATTTGTTATTTCATTTTTCAAACATTTTAAGAGTAGTTATCATTTATGGATAAGCTATAATATATTTATATATATACGGTAAAGTGCCATGAATTTCGAACGGCTCTTGAATTTCGAACGATCTTAAAATCGGCCGTCTGGAGTTTTTTCTGGACCATGAATTCCGGCCAGTAAGCAATTTTGCGCTATCTTGATTTCGTGAATTTCGTACACCTTAAAATCGGCCACCGGGCTATTCTCGCCCTTATAAAGATCTAACAGTCGGCAATGTTGCCCTAGCGTACCTTTACCTGAGCACTACGTGTGCGGCCCAAGGTGTAGGATAACGATCAGTACAGTTAGTTTAGGATGCTAAACAACATCGTCATATCCATTCATTCAGATAACAGGAGAATCTATTAAGAGTTGTACTGTCGGGCTGTTGTTTCTTTACCGCAGTATTCGGTGTGAGATAGCGATCGGTAGTTTTGCTGAGGCGCACAATAGCATTGTTAACAGTAGAGACTTCAGTAACAGAACAAAAGAGCAATATTAAGAGCTGCAATAAAGATAACCATTATTGCTTTCTTGTCTCGCTCAGATCGTTCACGGTCTCCCGCTGACGATGTCCCTTGAAATGTACAAATGAAATGAAAAATATTTTTAAAAATTATAAATTCCAATGGAGAGGGATGGAGGGTTAAAACAATCGAGAACAATCTCCGGCTGACGATCTTCCGCGAAACGAAAGCCACTGAACGAGTATGAGCTTTCTTGTTTCACTCGGATTGCGACGCTGACGATACGAAAATTGCGTTCTCGTCTCGCCCTTTGGCTTACGAAGTCTCTTTAACAAATATGAAAATTGCCTCCTGGTCTCTCTCGGATTGCGAACGATCTCTCGCTGAAAATTTGAAATTTTCCTTTTTGTCAATCAGCTTTGTCAGTTGCCGTGCGTATGAAGGTCCGGAAGGTGTCCCCTTTCACAAATTGGACGGTAGTTTGCTATTTCACAATCAGATGTACACTTTCAAAATTGAGCATGTTACATTGCCTCTAAGTATTATCAAAACCAATCTAGTGCCCACCCTTTGTCCAATCTGGAAGATGGCACTAAGTTGGAGCAATCAAAAATTTTTTTTTTGAAAATCGGACATAGATTGGCAAAAATATACTAATTTGAATCCCCTAAATACAGCCGTTTTTAGCTGTTACGAAGGGTCACTGCAGTTGTGTAATAATTTCAGGTAGTGGATATGTAATTTGGTATTGTAATTTATTGCATTTAGTTTGACTAAAGATATCAGTTGTGAGGTATAATGTTGTTTGAAAATCAGTTGGGCATAATATAGTGTAACATATGAGACAAAAGCCATTGAATGTTAAAAGGGAGCTCTGTTACGGACTTTTCCGTTTTTAACATAGTTGATTTCAAGGAGCCCCTGAAAGGAAATATTATGCTTGACAATAGCTTTTCTTCAGTAAAATGTGTTTTTAAAGGTATTTCAATACATTAAAAATTTACTGTGTCCAAATCCATATTTAGTTGAAAATCCCAACAATCCAAAATTGAAAGCACATCTTAACACAAAATTTTGTAGCGTCCGTCCCCCCTGTAGCAAAAGGATAGCAGTTAATCTTTTTTTAAAACCACACTCAGGCACTTATGCATTTCACTACCCATGATAAAATAATATACCTAAAAGGCCAGTAGCACGACACACTGTGGATATACCATTTGATTAGTGGTCAAATGTAGCGTCCGTCCCCACCTGTAGCGCCCATCCCCAATTTGTATTTTTCGCTTTATTAAGGATACACATGCTGAAATGGATTTTAATTAAGTATATTTTGTAAATACTCATTATAATCTATCTAATGTAGGCCAAGGTTGTCACTGACGCATTGGTGCATTACTTGTAATGGATAAATGGATACATTTAAAACAATGTTATAATATGAAACAATGTTGTTGTTTTTGCTGCTGTGAAACAACACTTGTGTACTTTAAAATTGCTACATGTATGAGACGAAGTGACATCACTTGGTTATAGTTTGGACTAAAAAGCCACAGTATATTTTATCCAAGGTAATAGGTTGTAATTTGTGCATTTGAGCTTGGAAAAATGATGGAGCAACATTTATGTTTTTATTGTTGGTGAGGATGGGTAAACTTAGTCAATGTAGAAAAAAAAAATGCCATGGAAACGGAAGGCATAAGTGAAAGTGCTTTGAAAAAAAAAAGAAAACAACGAGAAGAACTCAAGAAAGATCCCGCACGTTTGAAAACTGCCAGAGAAAAGGACAGACTTAGAAAAAAGAAAGGGAAAAGAAGAGACTTTACTTAATGAATCACCCAATATAAGTAAAAGCTGAAAGAGGAAAGGAAACTAACAGAATGAGAAAATATAGAGAGAAAATCCGAGAATAAACAAAGATCAGTGCTTTATCAGAAGCAGCTAAAGCAAGAGAGAAAAGGAAAAATACTTTCAGCCCAAAGAGAAAGAAACAGAAAGATTAAACTCAGTGAAGAAGCTAAAAAGAAAGAGGTCTTGAGGGGTAAAGCATGGAGACTAAGGGTTCAGTTACAAGATAAAACACCACAAGGTAAAGACTCAAGCCCGTTTTCATCTTCCTCCACTGAAAAGAGAGCCTTGAAACAAGCAAATAATGCCCTTCAGAGGTCACCGAGAAGAAAAGCTAAAATTTTAGAAAGGCTAATAAGATCTCCTAGAGTAAACAGCATATTAGAACAGAAATGAATTAAAGCAAGCAAGGAAACAAGCAGAAATTTGGAGATGGGGGAGACCCTTATTCAAAGTATGTCAGAGAATTTGTAATACTGTCAGAAAATATCTCTGGATATGCTCCTGTTATTGATTTGTAAATTTTTTGTTGAACTGTTTGTATTCATTTTAATACAGTTAATGTTTTGGAATGGGGATATAAAAATGACATGTTTTGGTGTAGCGTCCGTCCCCAAGTGTATTACGTACCAAGTCATGAAATTTTGGCACTCTTAACATGTTTTAGGTATTTTATTATGTGTCATTCTTATGGTCAAGTCTTTGTCATATCAAAATAAGAGATTTCAAATCATTGATGGAATTCCCTGATTTGATCTTAATCACACAACATTTTATTTTTATTTGCAAAAGAAATGAGGCCATGCATCATGCAACCGTACATTTTGAAAAAAAATAGCTCACAGTTGATTGAAATTTTGAGGTTTTCATTGCAAGTACAATTCATGTGTATAAAATTATGCTTATTAAAATAATTATTTTCCAATTATTATGTTTTATTCATCACGTGAATGTAATTGACTTGTAAAAATGTAGCGTCCGTCCCCAGTGTGAGACCATCCAGTCATTTTAGTGTCAAACAAAAACAAAGAGAAACGGTGCAAAAACATTTGAAGGGATTATGCCCAAGATCTATACTAATGTCCTACTGATATTCAAACCTCTGTTTGGTGAAGTTCATATTTGGTCGAAAATGGACCATAAAGTGTACATCTGATTGTGAAATAGCCGAATGTCATGTAGTATAATGTAATGGTATATATGATGTAATATAATGTTATACCTAATGTGATACAGTATAACCCAATGTTTGTCTTTGTGTCCTTGCAGTGGTAACAGCCCAGCACATGTCTGGAGCTGCTATGTACGAGCTGGTGAGAGTGGGACACGATGAACTGGTCGGGGAGATCATTCGTCTGGAGGGAGACATGGCGACCATCCAAGTCTACGAAGACACATGTATCCTTTCTCAACAGGGAAGGGAGGGGGGATTTATCTGATAGCTCAAATGGCAACACCATTGTCCAGAAATTTTCTGTATGTTTTATTAATTTATTTATTAATTTTTTTTATTATTATTTTTTTTGTTTGTTTGTTTGTACAATGTTCAAGTACTCATTTTAGAAGTTATTATTTTTGGGAATAAAAATCGTTATTTATAAGCTTTTCCAGCAAATGGTAATTTTTCAGGTCGAAAAGGCCCAAGTGTAATATTAAAGTTAACTACAAATATAATTGGAGTATCGGGGATGACAGAAAGGGGAGGGGGGTATTTGGCCATTGCTGACTTTGTGTCACCTCTACTGTGTTACCTGTGCTGTGTTACCTGTATTGTGTTACCTGTCCTTAAGTCTCTCTCCAGCGGGTGTCACAGTGGGGGACCCAGTGATGAGGACAGGCAAGCCTCTCTCTGTGGAACTGGGACCAGGTATCATGGGCAGTATCTTTGATGGTCAGTATTGTGGTCATGCTTTCACACCTAACACATTTGCTGTGTCACAGCTATCATCAGTATATTTGATGGTTAGTATTGTGGTCTTGCTTTCACAAGTAACACATTTGCTATGTCACAGCTATCATCAGTATCTTTGATGGTCGGCATTATGTTCATGCTTTCAAGCCAGCACATTGGTAATTTCACAGCTGTCATCATGGTCACTCATGGTTCCCAGAATATAGGGCTTTTTGTGCCAAACTAATTGTGTCTTTGTAAGTTGGTTAACTATGCATTAGTTTTGTTTTGTCTTGAAATATTATGAAAGATAATGTTGTGTATCAGTACTAGGGGTTTCATTTTATATTAATGAGTGAATGCTGTACAGTGTGACATGTGACTCTTCCTTCTCAGGTATCCAGCGCCCTCTGAAGGACATTAATGAACTCACACAGAGTATCTACATTCCAAAAGGTGTGAACACGCCTGCTCTTGACAGAGGCATTCAGTGGGAGTTTGAACCTCAGTTCATCAGGGTAAGAAACTGCCTAACTGAATTTATCAGGGTATTAAGAAACTAAAGCTCCTGTCTCAGCTTGAGTTAATTAGGGTAAGAAACTAAACCTCTTGTCTATAATCTTGACATAGTCAGATGTGAAAATCTTCAAAAATGTAGATTATAGAGATTTTTAAGCAGAGTAATGATCTAAATCTAAATGGTTTAATTATCTTTTTTTTTAAAACTGTTGTAACATGGTAAGCATCATAATTTGTAATTTACAAATAGTTTTAAAGAGAACATGATTTGAGTGCATTGGGCAATTCCGGTAGAAAAATACTGAAAATAAGTAAAGGAAATGGTTATTATTTCTATACTTTCAGGTTGGCAGTCACATTACAGGAGGAGATGTGTATGGCGTTGTCTATGAGAACAACCTGATCAAACACAAGATCATGTTGCCCCCCAAGGCCAGAGGCACAGTCACATGGATGGCAGACCCAGGCAATTACACTGTCAATGTAAGTTTTTGGGCAGGGATTTCGCCATGTTTTGAGGGGATTATAAGACCGTTTTCAAAAATATCATGTTTTATTTGTAAGTTTTCTTTATGGAATACCTATCTGTTCCAGTTTTAATGTTTTAACAGAATATGCAAGATGATGAGATTTTTTAAATGAAATGCATCAAATATGATGCGGTTTTGAATCCTTCATTGAATTGCAGAATTACATGTGAAAGAAATTTTACCCAAAATGATAGCAGAAATGTCTCCAATTGTTGTTATAGCAATTTTAGTTCACTCACGTGTGTACATTTTTTACCATCTACAGGACGTGATCTTGGAGACGGAGTTTGATGGAGAGAAGTCGCAGTACACCATGTTACAGGTGTGGCCTGTACGTCAGATGAGACCAGTGGCAGACAAACTGGCCGCTAACCACCCCCTACTCACTGGACAGAGAGTGCTGGATGCTCTTTTCCCGTATGTTTGTTCAATTTTGCGAAGTCACTTGATAAGAAATGCATCTTGATGTGGATGTGCAATGTGCTATGTTACACCTATATGTCACACCTCACAATTAGGACTGTTATAGTATTTCTGGTGTCACTATCAGTGTGTTGATATGTAAGCACTTAAAACATCGGTTTCGTCACATTTACCTGTATAACATCGTGTTATGATTTTTTCTGTGTAAATTATAAACAACTAAAATAATCAAATGTGTTTCTGTGTAGTGTATTGAGCGCAGTCAAACTTAGCACCAAAGTTGAAATTTCTATCAAAAGTATCAAGGGCGTTTAAAAATAGATAAATCATGCCTGACTGTCTGATTACTGGCCTAGTATATTGTCAAATTCTTTATTTCCAGCTGCGTCCAGGGGGGTACCACAGCCATTCCAGGTGCTTTCGGTTGTGGCAAAACTGTCATCTCCCAGTCACTGTCCAAATTCTCCAACAGCGACGTGATCATCTACGTAGGCTGTGGAGAGCGTGGCAACGAAATGTCTGAGGTATTGAGGGATTTCCCAGAGCTGACAGTAGAGATTGGAGGGAAAGAGGAGTCTATTATGAGGAGAACTTCACTGGTGGCTAACACTTCCAACATGCCTGTGGCTGCTAGGGAGGCTTCTATCTACACAGGTAACCTTGAGCCAACAGTTTATTGAACAGGAGAATTTTGGGTACTTCATTGAGTTTTGTGTTAGAAATTGGCCGTTTCATTGTGTTTTAAACATGCACACATTTGTCCACACATTTTGATTAGTAGAAAACCTTTTTTTCTATAGTAAAGTGCTTGCATAAAATGTATAGTTATGTTCTTACAACAGCTTTAAAGTAGCTAGCCTATCTGAGAGTACAGTAAAATATTTTTTTGGTAGTATTTTAACATTAAAAACGTGCCCACTGTCTTTCAGGTATCACCTTGTCTGAGTATTTCCGTGATATGGGCTACAATGTCTCCATGATGGCAGACTCCACATCCAGATGGGCTGAGGCCTTGAGAGAAATTTCAGGACGTCTGGCAGAAATGCCTGCTGATTCTGGTTACCCAGCATACCTTGGTGCTAGGCTGGCGTCTTTCTACGAGCGTGCTGGCCGCGTGAAGTGCATTGGGAACCCAAGCCGAGAGGGAAGCGTCAGTATTGTGGGGGCGTAAGTATCGATGGTATGCATGGGGCTTTTTGACAAGCGGATTATGTGTTTATGTAGAATTATTTTGCATCAGTACTGATGAGGTCATAATTTTGATCAAGTTCAGAGCAGGTTTTGATTTCAATTACATTTCAATTTATTGCCTTTACAATACAATACTTCAGTTCCTAGAAATTTAAATTGATGTTTAGTATCATTTGATATTCATATTCATAATCAATTCACAAATTGGTATTATCTTGCAGTGTGTCTCCCCCTGGTGGTGATTTCTCAGATCCTGTCACCTCGGCCACTCTGGGTATCGTCCAGGTATTTTGGGGATTGGACAAAAAGCTTGCCCAGAGGAAACATTTCCCCTCCATTAACTGGCTGATCAGTTACAGTAAATACATGAGAGCTCTGGATGATTACTATGAGAAAGCTTTCCCCGAGTTTACCCCCTTGAGGACTAAGGTAAAATGTCATGACTGTTTTTTTTTTTTAATGTAATGATCATTTTACAACCAGCATAGAGCTGGACATAGCTGACCACAGTGGTCAGTCAAGACTCAATGTCCTGAAATGTAGACATATTAACTGTACAGACTGATAACTTAATGTCTGCTATGTAAAGTTGTCAAATATTGGTCATCAAAATTGAGCAAAATCTATGTGTATGAGAGATGGATCTGATTGTTTTATAAATAATTTGTTCTCATTTAATGTTCTTATTTCAGACAAAGGAAATTTTACAAGAGGAAGAAGATCTATCAGAAATTGTACAGCTGGTGGGCAAGGTAAGAGCACCGACTGAGATTCCACTACAAAATGTTATCTAATAGTTGATATTATAACAGTTGGTATTATGTAACATTTCTGGTTTTATCTACATGATTGTTGATAGCATAACACTGTATTCCAGAATGTCATCTAATTCAAAATAGTTGTTGAGCTTGTTGTTCACCATTGTTTGTCTTAAAGCTTAGGATGAAATGTTGTATGAGCATAACACTAGTCATCCCTTCAATGGGGGTTTCCTCTATTTATTGTATGATGTATTGATTTTAGGGCTCCCTTGCTGAGGCAGATAAAATTACATTGGAAATTGCTAAGATTCTCAAGGATGATTTTCTACAACAGAATGGTTACACCCCCTATGACAGGTAAAGGCTTTAATTTTTAACTTTATATAACTGGGAGAATGTGCAGCTTGACATTAAACACTTAAGTGGAAAATTAGTTGGAAAACGTAAACTATTATTTTATTATGTCAAACTCAGTTATGTCATTTTTCANTTTTTTTTTTTTTTAATGTAATGATCATTTTTACAACCAGCATAGAGCTGGACATAGCTGACCACAGTGGTCAGTCAAGACTCAATGTCCTGAAATGTAGACATATTAACTGTACAGACTGATAACTTAATGTCTGCTATGTAAAGTTGTCAAATATTGGTCATCAAAATTGAGCAAAATCTATGTGTATGAGAGATGGATCTGATTGTTTTTATAAATAATTTGTTCTCATTTAATGTTCTTATTTCAGACAAAGGAAATTTTACAAGAGGAAGAAGATCTATCAGAAATTGTACAGCTGGTGGGCAAGGTAAGAGCACCGACTGAGATTCCACTACAAAATGTTATCTAATAGTTGATATTATAACAGTTGGTATTATGTAACATTTCTGGTTTTATCTACATGATTGTTGATAGCATAACACTGTATTCCAGAATGTCATCTAATTCAAAATAGTTGTTGAGCTTGTTGTTCACCATTGTTTGTCTTAAAGCTTAGGATGAAATGTTGTATGAGCATAACACTAGTCATCCCTTCAATGGGGGTTTCCTCTATTTATTGTATGATGTATTGATTTTAGGGCTCCCTTGCTGAGGCAGATAAAATTACATTGGAAATTGCTAAGATTCTCAAGGATGATTTTCTACAACAGAATGGTTACACCCCCTATGACAGGTAAAGGCTTTAATTTTTAACTTTATATAACTGGGAGAATGTGCAGCTTGACATTAAACACTTAAGTGGAAAATTAGTTGGAAAACGTAAACTATTATTTTATTATGTCAAACTCAGTTATGTCATTTTTCATTATTTGATTGTATAATAAATTTCTCTATAACTGTCTGATACTAAACACATTCTTGTCTACCGTAGGTATTGCCCATTCTACAAGACCACAGGGATGCTGAAGAATATTATCTCATTCTATGACATGGCCCGCCACGCGGTGGAGACAACAGCACAGAGTGAGAACAAGATTACATGGGGAATCATCAGAGAAGCCATGGGAGACATCATGTACAAACTCAGTAGTATGAAGTTCAAGGTAATTCACACCACCTTGTAAAACATGGAAATTGGCATTTTGGTAGTTTGGTGTTCTTTATTTTTTAGTGAAAAAAATTTTTTTGCTCATTTTGCATCTTAGAAATTTTGAGGAATATTTTAGCCAATTCTTACTTCACCGATAGAGAGTAATATAATATTTCTTATTTCAACCATTTAGTATATTCAGTATAACTATCTCGAGTGAGTGTAGAGATCGATATATAAAATATGTTTTATATTTTCACAGGTGATCAAGAATGCATCCACATCTTTTCTTACTTTTTCTAGGACCCAGTTAAAGATGGAGAAACAAAAATCAAAGCAGACTTCGATGAACTTTATGAAGAGATGGTGCAAGCATTCAGGAATCTGGAAGACTAAAGCCAGTTGCCTGTGGCCTTTATCTTATATAACATTTGACTGACCCTAGGATCACCCTGCTGTATATTGACCATCAATAGAAATATTAACACACACACACACACACACTTACACACACAGACACACACACACACACACACACACACACACACTTGTGAATACTATCACAACCTTGCACATGTAGAAATAACGATATATCTGGTCACCAGGTGGCAGTCACTGTAGCAGACACGTGGGGTTAAGTTCACAGAGAAGGCGTAGTGGTTAGAAAAAATTGTCTAGATTCTAGATAGATTATTACCTTTTGGACGTTATTTTTTGTTCATCTAATTGAAAAATGAAGATATTTTGAAACTAAAAGCGCCAAAGTATTATCTAAACTCTGGTAAAGATGTGTGCCACACATTTTACTGATCCTTATTTCAGCTCATATATTGTGTAAGAATTGACTGTACGTCTTGCATTCATTCCCTTGTCGTCGATGGCAATACTAAAGGTAGAAATAACTGCTGAGTGCAAAGTATCCAAGAAACATCCGTAGTAAATGAGTGAGGATTTAGAATATGTTATTTGTGTCATGCACCAATATAAGGTCGTGATAGTGTTGTAGAAAATTAAATGTGATTCCCTGTAGAATCGGCATGAAAATCAAACTTTTCTGTGTATTTCTTCCGATGATGAAAACAACAGCAGCAGGACTGAATCTTCTACTGACTGTTTTGAATTTCTTAGTCGATAGATTGTACGTCACATTGTTAAAAGGCCGCATATAATTAATGTGAGAAAGTGGACTGTCAGCAGTGATGTTTGTTACTTAATGTGTTATATGATATGCATAATTGTTTCCCCTCAACAGAGCATATTATATCTGTATATACATGTGCGGCATGTTGTATACACTATAGCTTTTCACATCCCAATCACACCCTGAGTCGTGTGACACGTGCTACAGGCAGCTTTGTACGTCAAAGGTGAAGGAAATATTTATATATGTGTATTTTTGAACTGTACATTGTGATACTGTAAAAATTACCGTAACTTGTAAATCATGGAATGTTGCGATTAGAGATAGCAAACTTGCAGCAATTAATTGTGTACCAAAACAATGCGATGGTTATGCTGGAGTACAAAGAAGAATAAATAACCTGTACACTGAATGGTGTCTGTTGTTATTTTAATAATTTTTAAAATTTATAATTGCATAATTCGTCAATGTGCAAATTTTGAGTCGCACATTTTCTTTGCGTATTTAAAGCAGTTTTTAAAGAAATTCATTGATCTTAGTTAAAATACTATTCTTTGTAACCCATGTGTCTCAAAGCAGCAATAATGATAGGCTAAAACACGATGAAAGCTTTTCCCAATAAAGGAAATTCTGAAAACGATTCTTCTGTATGAAAAATGGCAGCATTATACTTTGAAAATACAAAAAGAAAAAATGAAAAGTCATTTTATTTCAAAGTACTTGTGGGCTGCGTCTTGAATATTTATCTTAAAATAATTGTAATGAAAAGCTTAGTTTTATTTTCAAAAACGTTGAGGTCTATCACCCTCAATTATATTATCCAGGTTGAAATCTTTTTACAAACAAGGGCAGTTTCAGATGCATTGCACGCCGTCCCAACGAGGCCGCACGTCATCGGGCGTTCAAACTTGGTCCAGTCGCCTTCTGCCCACTGCCGGGGACCCTCTTCCCAGTTGTCAATTAACTTCCATCCAGGGGCAGAGCCAGGATTATTCAACAAGAACTTCAATTAAATTTTCAATTTAAATTTTACAATAAAGGACACCCATCCACAAATGGTTTGTCGGTCATATAGGTTAGTCAATTAATTCAAGGTCCCGGAAAAGACCATTTTGTTTCTTATTTGCAAGTAATGAAGAGGCCCTTTTTGTATAGAGCCAAAAGGTTGTACGTGAGAGAATCGAATGTCATCAACCCACTTTTTCTTTACATCCTGTATACTGGTGTAAATTAGAATAAAGACGCCCGCGGTGCGTTTGCCTACATGTATGTGTCTAGTTGGTTTTGGGAGAAAAATCTGAGTTATCTGCTAGGTAAGTGAACTTTAGTGGAAACAAATCTAAATCATCACGTTTCGTATCTCTTATTAACGCTATTGCATTTTTAAAATGTAAATGTGAAACTATAATGGGGCGTTGTAGCATGAACAAAGTACATCATGGCGTCAGTCTCTCAAAGGTGTAAGCTGATCCCAAACAGTACTTGAATAGATAGTTTCACTTTGTGTAAGACAGTAGGCCTAAGATGAATGCACAACATAGTTACTGCTGCATGTGGTATATTTATAAGTAATATCTTTTTTTAAAAATATATTTACCACCCCCGAAATTAGCATTTCCAATATTTTACTTACAAAGCTTGTTCATAGAATTGCAAAAAGAAAAATAACTATCATTAATATCTATTTTTTCGAGAAAGACCTTTTGATTTAAAACAAAGAAACTGGAAAACACACCCAATGGTATAAAGTCAATCAAGTTTCATTACCCCTATTAGTACAAGTATACATATTTATGGAGGGAGGTGTATTGATTATATTTAGGGAGTTTGATTCATGAGCGGGTGAAATTAAAGATTTCTGCACTGAAATGGATGGCTTAACTGACGGGATGAGGAAAGGATAAATAATCAGGGACAACATTTCATGAAATTGCTGATAGAGAAAAAAAGTGTATCACGGAAGAAATCTAAAGGAATGAATTGTTCCATAATGTGAACAGAGGAAAATCTGGAAGACTATTTCGTAACCCGTTTTTATACTTTAAGGGCACCCAAGCTGTTTTGTCGCCAAGTCGAATTTTCCTCAAAAATAGCACTTTTTCCTATCACGAATCTTCGATCGACCTGTTCCTGCATGTTGGATCGAGGCTTTGTATCTTTTCTAATTAAATAACTTAGTTTTAAATGACTGGCCAATCACTTAGAACACTGTCTCCCTGTACATTTCAGAAAAAAATCAACATCAGGTGCTTTTATTTGAGGGTATTATCGTTTTTATCGCCTTAACTGGAAAAGGCTGAAGGTAGCTTTGTAGGGCATTTTATTTTTCAATTTGATTTTTCTCGCCCCTCGTCCACAAATCACACACTGCAAACATTAGAAGAGAGGCACTCTTGCAAGCATAATCATGACATAATTTCTAATAAACAATACAGTTGCACCAAAATTCACTACAATTTTTGAGAGAAAGTATTATTTTATTTTTCACTTCTCTTAAGTTACGTTTTCGTAGTAGGACTAGGTTTGCTGTACCCGACTATTCCGATTCTTTATAAATTAGAGGTACCCCAAATAAAGTGAATCTTTGAATAAGAAGAATTAGAAGGAAAAAAAAACAGCATAGCAATATGCATTGACAAAATACCAAACCAGATTCTTAGAGCTCATTCAAAACAAGTTGATCTGATCAAATATAGCCGACCCACCTAAATGCAATGCCGATCAAATTCCTGACGGTCTCCCAGCCTCCACACGCGCCGTCACTGCAAAGTCCTAGCAATTGTGCCTCGGAGCAGAGATTCAATTCATTTAAGGGCGCGTGTGGAGACGGGGGAGACCATCAGGAGATTAGGCGGCTTGCTTTAAAGTGGATCGGCCATATTTAGTCGGTGAATCAGTTAGTCTTCGAATCATCTTCCGAATGCGACCTTAGGAGACCAGTGATGAAAATATCAGTAGAATCGGTCAAGTTGTGCTTTGTTACTTGTTTTGCACCCTCCGGTATGAAAAAAGACACGCATTTCCCCAGGTCCGATAGTTAAAGGTCTGGACCAATCATTTCTTGACAAAATAATTTTATCGTATTCAGAAAATATGTTTCTTCATCGACAATTAAATTGGGTTAAGGCGAAATGATTCTGTCAAAAAGAGTAAAAGATATTGTTAAGATACTAGCCTTCAGTGTCTAAGTTAGTCCACATTCGGGGATTAAGGCTCTTAGGCCAGGTACACTATGGTCAGTTGTTAACCGAATTGACACGTTGTGGAGTGTGATATTTTACAACTAGACTTAATTTCTTTTTATACAACACAGTTACAGTAACAGAAAGAGAAAAAAAGAAGGGCTTGATATTTACAAGTGTTACATGCGTGATGACACCTACAAATAGCTGTATGTGCTTATAAGAGGAATTTATTTATGCCCTAATAAATAAAGGCGGATACCAATGGGAAGATATATTAGGCTTAAATAGTTTATATTATAATGCAGAATCATGTAATGCTGAATGTCAAGAACACTCCATGGTTACCAAGTAATAGTAGGCCTATAGCTTATTAACTACGGTATTTGCCATGTATGATAATGATTCTCCTCGAGCCAATAGTGGCATCAACTTAAAGGAATACTTCTCTATCTGATAAAAGTCATTTGCTTAATTTCTGCGCACTTTGATCACTTCAAAGGTTAAAACGAGAGAATCATTAACCGGATTTTGTCTTCCCTGTTTTTTTGCATGTGGGCGTTAATCTTGTCAGCTACCTACTCGTACAAAATATATGCCATGTATTAGCATTCTGTTTGTGGCCCACTGTAGTTATTGGTTACAGTGTGAATAATTAAGCTCTAAATTCTGTCGGCAACTTGTCCTAAATATGCCACGTACCGGACTTCATTTTTTTTTTTTTTTTGTTAAATTATTTGTGGACCTCTCCACAAAATACGATAAACCCTTTACCATCCAGACACATTGCCTAACACAGGGTTCCCCTTCTCTTACAGCGTGCTTGTATAGAACAAGTTTCTAACCTGGCAACCTGACCAGCAAAGCAAGTTGGGTAACACAATGGGATACGTCACAGCAATCAAAACTACGTGTAGCCGAGTATGGAATAACAAATCGACTATACCGTAAATAAACCATCAATTTCTTTATTCTTATTTGCACATACATCTGATGAACGACGACTGACTAAAGGATAACGAAGAATAACGCCAAAAAGTATGGCGCGGGGAATTGATATTTTCAGCTCACGTGACTCACGAGACTGAAAAAGCGGGAGTACGTGACACAATAACTTGACATCTTGTCACAATCGAGGGGAGATATACGGTGGGGGGTTCAGGATTGATGGGGCAGAAAAAAACACATCCCGACGCATTGTCGTCACTAAATAAGCATTTTTACAAAAATGTAGATTATAAATGGATGGTAAAATATATCAGCCATTCACAGACATTGATAGTCTGAAAGGGGCCGTAGCAATAGTCCGAAGGTTCAATAGTCCGAAGGTTCATTGGTCCGAATGTTCACTACAGAACCTTCGGACCAATGAACCCTTGATTAAAAAACCGATGAAAATGTTACCGTTTTTCGGACCAATGAACCTTCGGACCAATGAACCTTCGGACTATCGAGACGCCCCCGTCTGAAACGGTTTGCAACACTAACGTGCCAGGGATATTTTCCGTCTCTTAAACACTGACAGGAGTTTCAATAGTTTTATATAGTATGATGTTAGGGTAGCGTACAGTGGTATATTACATTACCCCCCTCCTTACAACATGACATGCTTCATGTGTGCCAATCTCATTTAACACTTGTAACTGAAGATTGTAATCATTCCACCAGACCCTTTTCAAATTGTTTTCCAGAACACCATGGAGGCACACGCCTTATCGAAAATTGCAGAGCATGGGAGCACAGAACAGAACTGTAGAAATAAAGGAGCCTCCCAAACCCCTTCACCGCCATCCGGCGACAACTCTAACTGCTTGAGAGTGGGCATTCGTAACAGCACGGGGGCTGAAGGAACCGAGAACCATGCCTACGATAACTCCGCCTGCGTTAACCACCGAACCACCGAACCCAACACCCCCTCCGCCCCAGTGCGAAATGAAACAGGGCAGAGTATGGCATACCGACGAATGTCGGATAGATCCTCCTTCTCCGGCAGTATGACGATAGTAGACAACAGGCGGCGGTTGTGTCGCAAGCGATGCTGTGCTGTCTGGCTTGTGATCGTGGCAATACTAGTGTTATTAATGTTCACAGCGGGGCTGGCTCTCTTCATTACCCTTAGATCTGAGACTCAAGGGAAAAACAACAGTTCACCCAGCACGGTACTTAAATGCTTAATTATCATAATCATTATAGCTTACATGTACGTGTGAAAAAGTGAAATGCATGGGTATTTTTGTTGGTGAAATAAGCCATCAATCTGTGTCACCAAAAATTACCTTTCTCTTTTCTTCAATGCCATTATTCAGAATCATTGAAGCAGAAGGAACTTGTATTTAACTGCGATTGTATAATATAATATAATATAATATAATATAATATAATATAATATAATATAATATAATATAATATAGAGTCTAAAACATGTATGTACATCTACGTTTGATAATAACTTTAGACTCTGATCATTGTTTTACCGATAATGTGAGAATGGAAGCACACATAAATTTTGCATTAAACTCCTCTTTTTCCCATGTTTTACCGATAATGTGAGAATGGAAGCACACATAAATTTTGCATTAAACACCTCTTTTTCCCATGTGTTGATAATATTGGTTCTAGACTCTCTACTCGCTCTTCTCCAGTTGAAGCAGAAGCAGAAGTTCAACGGATGTGAGGTGGAGCCTTCCCCTAGAACAGACAGTGCTGCCACACCGTGGAAGGACGGGAAGGTTGTGCCGACCGCGAAAGTGTTCAGTTGCTCACGATATAAGGCTGATAGTAATTATGATATCCACGTTCTAAGTATGGACTCTGCCGGGAAGGCTGGAGTCGAAGTGATGGTGTCGGTGAACGCCACTGGCCCCAAAGTGAAGAATGTTATGTTGGTGTTGATATCTGGTACAAAAACATCTTGGGTTATCGCTCCCGATGCGGCTGTTTCTAGGGTAAGTTGCATTCTCTCTCTCTCGCTCAACTGTAAGGTGGAGTAATTACAATGTTCAAATATTTCATACATACAAAGGTATGTATTGACATGTATGAATTGGTGGCTTTGTTTTGATTCAATAGCCAAGTAAAAAATCCTAAAGTTATTTTATTTAGTGCTGAATCTTATATGCAATAAAATGTAGAAGAGTCCAGTTACATTTTATCTAGATAAACATTTGACCACTCACTCACGTTTTTACCTAGATTATCAAATGTAGACGCGATGGAGTGAAGTCAGGTAACATTAAGTTTGATAGCGTGAGCTGTCCAGAAAAGGAAGATGTCGCCTCGGCCGTACTGCAGAATGTGGTGGCCACGTACGGACAGATTACGTCATACACATACACCGCCACATGCGACAAATGGACGCTTAAGGTGGGCGAGCAAGGTACGTCTGCTTTTTTTAAAGATATCGCAGGGAAACCTTGTATCTTGTACGGATGTATGTAATGGGACATCCTCTAAACAAAAAATAAACAAAAACACATAAAAGATCCTACTTTCATTTTTCTTTCATTTTACAACGGCCAAAACAACGATTTAGCTTTCATTTTAAACTTGCCTATACAATGTCTTTACTATTCACCGATTAAACCAATGAAGGAAGATGTACTACATGGGTTAAGTTTCCCTTTGTATAAAAAGGAACTTTATCCGAACTCTGTTGTCGACCTTTGCTTACTAGATAAACTGAAACCCACTGCGCTGCCACCAACACAACCCGCAAGTGTCCTCCCCCCTGTACGCAACATCTCTGCGGTTCGGAACGTCCGACTGGCAGATATGTGGGAGCATGGTGCGGGGCATGTGCAGGTGCTGATAGGACGGCACTGGTACTACATCTGTGACCGCCTAATTGCCTCTGCTGATGCGCACGTGATATGCAAGACGCTAGGACTAGGGTAAGCTTGAGGCAGACGGATTTTTTTATTATATATGGTTGTACTAGTATGCATAGTTTAATGACAGAGAAGCTTGGGATATATTTTGCGCATGGTTTTAGATCTTTTGGGTTGTTTAGAATCCAAACCCTTGATTGTACACTCTGCTTTGTCATCTCAGCGTACATTTCGTGACGAAAAGATATTGTAGTAATTCTAAATGTATATGCATAAATTGGACCTATAGTCAGATTACCAATATTTCGTCTTACAGCAATTTTTTACTAGAACCATTCTAGATATTTAAGTGCACTTGCCTCCAGTTTTATTCTCTTTTTCACGTATATTGCCATATCTGGATCAGCTTTTTTTCAAAAGTAAGACTTGTTGTCAAGGAATCAAACGTTCAAGCCTCTTAAAACAGAAAAGAGAGTCTTTACCCACTGTTTTCTCATTCAAAATAAAGGTGAATAGAGGTCTTGCATCGATGGTAAAAAAGAACTGTTATTCGCCGAAACCATGCGGTCCCTTGGAATACTTAACTGCTGCATTGCGTGGATATGGGGTGTTATGTCACAGATCTGATGTCCATTGAGATTTCTCATGGTAACAAACACAACGATCTCTCTTTGATTCTACATCAAAGGACACAATAAAGATATCCTCTCTTAATTCTAGCGTTCAAGCAGAGGTGTTGTTCCAATCGTTCTTCTCTATGGTGGATTCTACTCCATTGAGGTTGATACTGGGTTGTGTTGGCAACGAGACAAACGTCACCCAATGCCGCCATACGTTAGCCAACCCTTTTGTCAGATGTAAACAGAGAGTGGCGACAGTCAGGTGTAACCCAGGTAAGTTGCAGAATTGAGCAAGTTCTATTCAGTGTGATTGAATTCTCAGACTAATTATATACTTGTTTTTCAGTATATCGAAGCTAGTTACGTTGATTATACTATTTTTGGTTAATTTATCTTATTATAAAGGAATTTTTAGCTTTTTTAAACAGCTTTTCGAAAAGTGGCTTTGCAAGTATCGATGCGGTACATCCCATAGCTTGCAATCTAACGAAGGTTTAATTACAAAAAAATGCAATCGAACCTTGCAACTTGTTTATCTTATATGCAATCTTGATTTTAAAAAAGATGCCACACCAAACATGTTTTTCTTTGTTTATGAATGTTTCCTTTACAGCCATTTTAATGTTACTTTTTATTACATATACCACATCTAACGTAAAAGACTTATGGTGCAGATAACAAGTAGATATAGTGTAGCCATATTTTATACAATGTAATACCAAGATATTTTTTATATTTTGCATCGGTGAACATCAACTGAAACATCAATTTCAAAGTCGTCTCACGTAATTTACGTGAGTTACGTGAGCTAGCTAACTCTAGGATAACCCATGGCTATCAAGATTGTCACATTTTACTTACAATTTACGAGATATCCTTTCAGGAATTTGCGACGTTGAAATAAAATCTGATCGGATGGAATCCAGGAAAATAGTTCTTGTTTCTTCATGTAGTATAGGTTGTCTTGTTGTCTCGTCTTGTTCGTAGGAAGTCAATTCTTAACGTCACATATAACAACAATGGGAAAATACAGTGGAGATATGTGATAAAACTGAAGTCCTGAATGATCCGTCCCTAGGAGGGGTAAGCACCCGCCTAAATTATGATTGTTTATCTTTCCTATCTGTAATTCCAGGACCCACCACTTCTCCTGTAAGTCCGTCACAGATCACTGATGTAAGGCTGGTCGACTCTAATTCCAAATACGAGGGGAACGTGCAAGTGAAGTATGGGAGCAGCTGGCGTTACGTCTGTGACGTGGACTGGGATTCGATCGACGCTAGAGTTGTGTGTCTAACGCTAGGACATCGGTATGATTTGGGGTTCTTGTCTAAAAATAAAATCAAAAAATAAAATCTTGAAAATATTACTTTTACTAGTTATCCTTTTACTAGTTCCTCTACTACACGCTGTTATCCTGTGTTGAGGGTTTATTTCATTTTATTTATTATCTTTTTCTTCTTAATTTCAACAATTTATGTATCAGTGGTTTGTGATAGCTGAACAAGCATGTTATCAATAAATTTGAAAATTTTTTGTGAACTAAAATAGTTTCATTTTTATATTGTCAATATCTTTTGAATGTAACATTTCTTGTCATTTAAACAAGAACCAAATTTTGCTTTAAATTTTAATTTTGGCTTTGCACGACACTTGAAGGCAAATTTAGTTTTTATGTTTAAAGTATTATAGTTTGAGCAATCAAAGTTTATAAAATCAGTTTTCAAACATTTTACTAATAGCAGTTTCAATTAACAGGAATTTAACTGGCGCAATATATTTCAACTCTAACTTCGGGAACGCCCCTTCTAACAACCGACCATTCATAACCCTCAACTGCATAGATTCGGCCACTCATATCAAGGAATGTCGCTATGCAACATATTGGAATTACTATGGGTGTGATGTTGATGACGTAGCAGGCGTCCAATGCTTTTCAGGTATGATGTAGTATCGATAATTCTCAAGCTTTGGGCGTTATAACACTGAAACTGACCAAAGTTATGTACAAGATTAATGGTTTTGTGAGTTTCTAAGGCAAAAGGAAGCATGGAATTAAGACACCCGTATGAGAGAAAGTAACAATAACATTTCTTAAGGCATATTGATAAAGGGAAATGAAAAGTTTATTAAACCTGCTATCGGATCCAGTGATACTCGACTACAATGAAAGAGATTGCTTAGATCAATCCGCATGCGGCCAATCACTTGCTCTAGTGGATCTTACTGTTTTCTAGATTTTTTTTTTTTTTTTTTGTCATGCTGAGGAAGTTTTATTTTGGTATTTCATCAGTGAGAAAAAAGGTGAAATTGAAATCTCCGAAGTCCAGGTGCATTTGGGTGTTGGTCGCTGACTATGTGAAATACATGTATTTTAGCTGTTACATGTATATAAAGATAGCATAAAACACTGCATTTGCGGTGTGAGTTTCAACTCTTGTTTTAAATCTTTTAAGATACTGGAGTATCAGGGATAACCTGTAACTTTGAGGCTGGGATGTGTGGCTTGATGCCTTCTTATACGTCAAGTGCTTACAGCTCGTTCAAGTGGACTCGGGGTAGAGGCCGCACATCCTCCTCCTACACAGGCCCCACCCATGACCACACGACGCTGTCGAGCACAGGTAAGTTTCTATAATACTACATTCATCGTGTTTGTCTATCAGTATTTCGATATAAATCATTTGTCTTTTAAACTGGCACCAATTTCCGTTAAGATAAAGCCGTTATTTGTTTATACCAATGTGAAGGGTCTTAACACCAGGAGTTGTTTCAATAGCTAATAGCTAAGGCGAATACAGTTCCATTTGTCATATAGCTATAGAAAAAATACCTGCGATTTATCAGAAAATATTAGCAGAAATATGGACTGATAATAAAATCTCTTTTTGTTCAACTATTGGCAAACGAATCTCTAATTGCCTTATTGAAAACTAGGTGGGTTTTAAGCTACGACGGGTTTGTGTGTGGTTGTGGGATGAGAAAAAAAAAGAAATGCCCGTTGTTTTAAGAAGGCACTTTAGATATTTAACAGCCAAGACAAACATGACTTTCGTCCTGCGGTCAATAACATGGTCGTCAAAGACAAATTAGACGCGTTGGTAGTAGGGTATATATTAAAACCTCCGGAATTTATAGCAAAAACTTTTCATCTATAGTGACTATGAAACCTTTTTAAAATTCGATGATGTTCTGATATAGGTTACTACGCGTACCTGGACGGAACGTACTGCTACTCTGGCAGGACCGCCGAGCTTTTGACACCCACCATTCTTGTCAACACTACAAGGACGGTGTATAATATATCATTCTGGTATCACATGTATGGCTCAAGTATGGGCGCATTGAATGTGTATTTGACAGTACAAGGCAGGAAAACTCTCATCTGGATCGCTTCTGGAAACCAGGGCAACGCATGGAAATACGCTGAAGTGTTGAAACTCGCCAGCGGCAACTTCACGGTTAGGGATAATCTGTTATTCTTTGATTTCACTTTGGAATGGCTAATTATGACAAAAAGAATATTCTTTGACTTTTTGAATTATTCCTTTGACTTGTTGAATTATTTCAATAAAATGCTTTGTGCATTTTGCTAAAGAGGAAGCCACATCAAACTATAATTCCTAGCACTAAGTCTACTAACTTAAAAACAAACTTTAATTTCGCGTTATCTTTTAGATAACCTTCCAGGCCGTGTGTGGCGGGTCATACAGCAATGATATTGCTATAGACGATATATCTATCAAGAAACAAGAAGGTTACTTTATTTAATGGAAAATTTTTAAACTGGCGAAGAATAATGGAATCATAAGATTAAAGTCAAGAGTATTCATTGCCGATTGTATAGAGTCTTACACTGTGTTTGTTAGGTGATAAACGTATCTTTAATCAATCAATCAATCAATTAATATATATATATATATATATATATATATATATATATATATATATATATAGAAAGAGAGAGAGAGAGAGAGAGAGAGAGATGATGTTTTATCTTGTAAAACTTGCATCATTCAGGCGCTACAACCGTTCCCGACGAGAAGCTACAAGGTTAGGACCTACATGTATATTGTTTTGAAATATCAGCGTTATTTCTTTTTTCAAGAATCACCAAACAATTCCTCAAAATGTAGGTAAACTAAAGTTCAGCTCATTAAGAGCAAATAGAAATATGTGTGAAGCTAAGATTATGACTTGCTGTCAGTCACAATGTGAAATACTGGAAGATCGACGCATCAAATTGTGTCACACGTGTTCCATTTAGTGTATAACAGATAGAATAGGCCATAAACCTTGAAAATACAGTTTGACGAAAATGCAAGCTCAACCGGAGATGCACATGGTATTGTTTTATTTTCGATGTAGTATAGAATATGACATTCGTGATATTAGGTTAAATTGTATTGTACAAAATCAAGACTCGCCCTACTCTGTACCAAGTACAGACTGGCTGGGTTAAGGCAAAAAGTCCTCACAGAGCAGAAATACGCACAGTTCATGGCTAGTCGGAGAAAAATATCTGCTGCCAATATCTAATGTTTTTTTCTCTGTGATCCTGGTAAAAATTAACCCAACTCACCCCTCTTGTTTCAGTGCGGCTGGTTGGTGGCTCTGTGGCACGTGAAGGTCGCGTAGAGATCTATTATCTGGGACAATGGGGCACAGTTTGTGACAGTGACTGGAACATCAGGGACGGTCAGGTTACCTGTAGAATGCTGGGATACAGGTATGAACTACTTTTGTGAGCATCTTGGTAAAGAGAACTCCGTTTGTCCCCTTCTGGCCCTTTCGTAGTGACCATTAAAGATTGAAAGACGATGACAGCTTTGCTTTCAAAGTTTACTTAGTTTTTTCCCCAAACCACCATGAGCCAAAATCATAAAAAAGTTTATTGCGATTGTATAACAGGATATGTTATTAGTGTTTACGAGGATTGGGTTTAAAGCTTCATCAAACTCATAAAATGCATTGTTAAAGATTTATTTAACTGTGCGTCCGTTTTACACAGTAGTGAAGGTTTACGTCATTCTCACTGGACCGGTTGTGTTTCAGTGACGCAGTAGCGGTGTACCCCAGCGCTAGGTTTGGCCAAGGAAACGGGACATTGATGCTGTCCCACATAAACTGTACAGGAACGGAGTCTTCTTTAGAAGAATGTGACAAACCCCTCTGGGTCACAACCTGTAGCTATTACCAGGACGCGTCTGTCCGGTGCAAGGATCCAGGTAACTGTATATTTAAAACGTCAGTATATATCTACTTCTTTGCGTTGTTTTTAGCTTGGACAGAATAACGGTATAATGCGTTATTATGTCAAAGTTTGTAGTTTAAATTTGCTGTTTGATATTACTTAATATATACATGTAATGCATAACTTTAGTGTTAGCATGGAATTCTGTCAAAATAACTGTTTACTATATTGTTACTGTAAACACTCATAAGAACATAGACATAATATCACGTATGACGCTATAAAGCGATAGTAAGAAAAATTGCGCCCCCCCCTTTTTTTGCTGTCACCACTGCTACTTTAATAGTGACAAAATGTTCAAAACACTGTCTTGTAATAAAAAAAGGACTGTACATAACAATGACTCAATTTCGTCCTAAAAAGTGAGATGCAGACGACCACTCCCTTCCAGTCTTGGTTCTTACATGTACATGTATGATGTAGGCTATGTAGTATGATGAACTTAGCATTTACTCTTATGAAGTACTGTCAGGCTTAGTCTACATTTCCGTTTTTTCCAGGACTGGCGTCCGTAGAATGCACGTTTGAGGCGGATTTCTGTGGTTACAATCAGAGCTACTCCAATAATCTGAACTGGGTCCGAAGTCAGGGATACACATATTATTCTAACGCTCCCGGCAGTGATCACACTCTTGACTCCTCATATGGTATAAACTTGTAGTCATAAAGGCCTAACTCCTTTCTTGTCAATTTTTCATTCTTAAAGTGATAATAACTCTTCGTTTCGGCCAAAAAATGAATTTTCCTGGAGTAAACAACAATTTTCCCATACTTACCAATGGTTAATGAATCCATTTTTACATTCAAAGTTAGTCCCTGGTTTTTTTCTAAAAAGTTTGGTTTTTTGTTAAAATCTCTTAAGAGATTTTAACAGAGTATAGCCATCAATGGAGGTCACGTGGTCTAAAGACAAGCTCAGATATCAGAATAATAGCTATAACAGCCGTTTTTGTGGGAAAACAGAATATATTATATTTTTATGAGCCATTCACAATGTTTTTATTGTGAAATACAGATTTCATACGAAGAGTTATTATCCCTTTAAGGAAAATGAGAAAAGAGAAAATGAAGTCTTTGTATTTGATTGATTAACCTGTCATTGAATAGATGATGCAAAATTTGTCGAAATTCATTGTCGAAATATTGAGAGATCTCACAGACGCATATAACCTGGATGCATGGTCACTTAAATCAGAAATAAAGCAGGTTATTGAGAAACTCGACAGTCTTCTCAACTGTATCACATAGAAAGTTAAATGATTCCACGCGAACAACACGCACAGTCACAGGGGGAAACATGACAAATTTCAAATAAGGTATTGCGGTATTTATATAATGCCACACAACAACACGAACGCCAAAACCAGAAGGCAAAATAACAAATCTTGAATAACACGTACTTTCTGAATAAATGTCAGTCACCCCTTTACAGGATACTATATCTACATGTCGGGCAGCAATGGGAGACCAAATGAAACCGCGCGGATAACGTCCCCTGTGATCAAAGTGAACACCAGCACGGTCTACAACATATCGTTTTGGTTCTACATGAGGGGTAGAGAGCTCGGTTATATCAGGGTGTTGGTGAAACGTTCTGAAACGATGGAACAAGAACTCTGGAACTTTACAGCAGTTACAGGAAGTTATTCTTGGCTAGGTCACTTTCTTCACATCTCGACCAGTAGTGATTTTCAGGTATGATGTCAGTTTTGTCCAGAAGTCAGCATATATCAACAACACATGGATCATAATATGTCTGTCTCGTATCTTGATATACGACGAAGGTGGTTGATGGTTGATAGGAGACGCTAAATAGTAAATCATTCCTTTCACAATGGCTCCGTTCTTATAGTCGATTAGTAGATGTTGTGGGGCGTTTTAAGCTTTGTCAAATCTAATTTGTGTGTGGAATACATTTGCACATCAAAATAGATCTACTCTTTTGCGTAATATTTTGACAGGTCATCTTTGAGGGCGTGAGAGGAGGAGATTCAAGATCGACCATAGCCTTGGATGATATATTTATCTGTCCAGTGAAAGGTAGGTGTAGCTCGATTTGTCTATCACCGTATGTATAACCCCGTGAAGAAGTGCTATTCCATTTTTGCCAATGAAAAATACTTTGGGTGTTATCAACCTAATATTCTACCAGTGTTGGAAAACGGCTACCTCCATTCTCTCCATCTATAGCATGCATGCCAACGGCGTGGAAAGGTGTCACAAGCAAGAGTGTGACCACCGTTTTCTTTCTTGAAGTATTAAATCTTTTTGATCCAGTCTATTTGTCAGTAAGACACACACACACACACACGCATGCACGCAGGTACGCACACAAACACACGTTTAAATCAATTGTTTCAGGGAACACTACACTAGTACCAGTTACTGTTAGTGTGCGTCTGGCCGGTGGTTATTATCCCTGGGACGGCAGAGTGGAAATCTACCACGCAGGAGTGTGGGGCGACATCTGTGGCTCGGGATGGGACATTTATGACGCGCAGGTCGTTTGTAGGATGCTAGGCTATCGGTGAGGTTTAATCTTATTTACATGAAGAGAACTATGATTATCAACACTCTTCTACTCATTGGCTATTTTGCATTTCATGTTATTTCCAGAGAGGGAGAGTGACTAAACATGCGAGTGATTTTGTTTGCCAATATACGATACCGGGGATGTTTGTCACCTACTGGAAATAGTAATTGTTTTTTGAGTTAGCAAATGCATGGGCGATTAAAGGAATAAGCGGTTAAACATGAAAATTCTCAGACACAAGCCTAAAATTTTCCGTACCGTTAGCTTACGGCCAACCTGGTCGAAGGCCTTCATCAGACTGACATGAGTAGTTGACATCCCGCGAAAAATACGAGAGGCTATCAACATCAGCCGACACCAGCCACCCATGAATAGGGACGGTGGGTTGATCTACCTGACATTTATAAGAGGGTCCTGGCCGCTATACCACCTAGCGGTCAGTGAGTGTGAACAACTACTCACGTCAGTCTGATGAAGGCCTTCGACCAGGTTGGCCGTAAGCTAACGGTACGGAAAATTTTAGGCTTGTGTCTGAGAATTTTCATGTTTATCCAACAACCAAGCTAATGAACATTTTTGCTCGAATAAGCGGTTGTTTAAAATGGATCTTTTTATGTAAACTAGTGACGTGTCACTGTCGTTCACCTAAAATTTATATTTGAGAGATCAACAGAAATTTGAAACCAAGAGGTGGGAGTACATTATTGGTACAGAAAGTGGGCGACTCTATCTCCCACCCTCTATCTTTCTCTCTCTCTCTCTCTCTCACACACACACACATACACACACACCTTTGTGGTTGAATAGATTCCAACTACATGCATGTCCTTATACAACGAGTTCGACGGTTGTATTACAGAGGGGTTGACGCTGCTTACACTCACAGTGGCATGTGGCTCTACAGCTCTGTCTCCAGGACCTGGCTCAGCGATGTTGACTGTGTGGGTTTCGAATACTCCCTAGAATATTGCACTCACTCCAGATGGGGCTTCAGTTACTGTTTTGGCAGCACTATGGCCGGTGTCAGGTGCACTCCTCCTGGTAAGGTCTAGATGATTAAAGAGCTCATTTTGAGATTGTTTAACCCATACAAGCAATATGGAGATGAGGCACCCTTTAAAAGTGATGAGATAAGGTATCTGTTGTCCAAGGGAGACGAATTCGAGTATCAAATGATAAAGCATTCTTGTACCAGTTTATGGAGCTGATCTGCCCTCGGATTTCTTGGGTGTAGCCGCCCAGTCGTCCTTAAATTTCAACTGTATAGAAATTCATAACAAGATTTTTATGACTCGATCATTCAGGGGGATATTATTTGTTTGACATCGATATTCATTCTACTTCGTTTCAGAAAATGCTAATACCACTATTCGGTCAAATGTGACTTGTTCCTTCGAATCAGGTTCATGTGCTTTTCAGCCGTCTTTTGAAAATTTGTCCACGTCTTACAATTGGTCAGTTATATCAGGCAGCACTCCATCTAGCGGGACAGGACCTTACACTGACCACACTTTGGGCACTTTATCTGGTGAGTTCATATAAAGTACATTGCAAATCCTGCCTCTCCCACTTTTCAAAACATTTTCGTATCTCAGGCTAGTTCAGTGTAACGGACCATTATGTGATCTCATGATTTGCCTGCAGATGCCAGAATTCATCTTTTCCTTCTTGTTTGGTTGGAGACCATAACCACTGGCAGTCCACAAATGGGCAATGTGCTAATCATTATGAAAAATGGCTTCCATCAGCAAAACTCTAATCAACTTGACACTGAACATGCAGTCTGCGGTGAAAGTGGTTAGATAAATTATCAAAAACCAGGCATGCTTTCAAAGAAGATGGCGGGTCAATTCCAGTAGCGGTTCTTCCTTTGTTGATTCAAAAGGGATGTCGTGTTTTTCTTGTCCCCAAGACACTACCAAGGAGCCTGTATAAAACAGTTCCTGTGGTGGGTTGCTGCCATCTTGTCCCAAGGGCAAGAGTATACAAATATAGGACCGGCAGTGGCTGTAGTCATGCAAGTAGTCGTGAAGATCTAAGAGACAGCTCCTTGAGCTTTTAGGAAGCTATTTAGGATGCTTACCCCCAACATTTACCAGCAATGTTTCAAATGTCCTTTTGTAAATTGCCGTGTTTTTATTTGTCCTATGTACCATTGCGTGCAAAAAGTCTCCCATCTGAATGTATATATTTCAATCAGTTTGACGTTGGTGACCCTTTGTCATTAAAGGATCAGCATTATAAAGAGTACTTTAAAGATGCATATGAAGTCAATTTTTTGCAACAAAAGCCAAAGAAATGGCAGTATACAAAGTATAACTAAGAGAATTAACAAAAGGCATTGTTTCATTTGACCCAGTGATATTTGAACGGGTTTTCTGCTAGCAGCATATATGTATGCATGTATACTGGATTCTGTATATTTACGGACAAACGATTGTTTAATTACAGGGCATTACATCTACGCCGAGGCAAGCTCTGTGTCCCGTGGTGCCAACACAATCTTGATATCGCCTCCACTGGAGCCCCGTGGAAGAAAATCGTATAACGTATCATTCTGGTATCACATGCATGGTAATGACATGGGGGCACTTAATATTCGCGGCAGATCGCTCAGCTCATCGCAAGTAGGAATAATGTGGACGACGAATGGTGATCAAGGAAATACTTGGAGAAGAGGTGAAGTGTTGGTAGTGACAAATTCGTCGTTTCAGGTAATTTTTTACCTATTGCAAATGTACGTGTATGTAACATTACGGTTACGTGTATGTGTTCTTGGTTTCTTTGGTTACACATCCAAAAACGCGCAGCCTCCCTCCCTCCCCCACCCCTTCTCTCCTAATGATGCATTTCATGCATTCAGTGAGGGCGAATTATTTTACTAGTTTTTTGTAAGTTATCAGTTGAGGTGCACGTTTCAAATTTGAATGAATGGTAAAAGCAGGGTGTGGTATCTGGATTAAAAGCACTGTACTTAAGGCTAAGTTGAAGGCTTTGATGTGATCATTCGTACACAAAATACATTGAATTGGGGTGTGATAACCCTTTTTATCAGATGATATTCTATTCCATTTATTACTTTTAGATTATTTTTGAAGCTATCTGCGGTTCTGGTTTCCGCTCCGATGTTGCACTAGACGATATCAGCATTGTTCCAATCATACGTGAGTACTTACGTATATAGTTTCTTGGGTAACAGGCTGAGATTTGTTCCGTGGATCGGGCTAATCCCAGCAGGCATAGTGGCGTTAGATCAACGTTGATACTTTGAATTGCCGTTGATCTACCTAAATTCAACGTAAAATCAACGTTGATCCAGCCACGTCAAAACACCGTCATAATGTAACGTTGACTCAACGTTGTATTTTGGTCATTGGCTCAACGTTGCAAGACATGGATTGTAATTTAAAATATTAATAATTGAAAACGTGGTACTTTGTTTATCAATACTGTAACTAACTTTATCAAAATAATAAAAAAAGTGTTTTAAAGTAAGAGTGACATTTGTTTTGTGTCTTTAGTGAACTAGTGAATTTTCTTAACTTGTTATTAAGAAATACATTCCAATAAACTTCCTTGCAAGGTCAAATAACACTAGGATGGATAAGTCGCTGTAAATGTGATGGAGTGAAGTTAACAAAGTTGACAGTTCTCGGTACCCTGTAATAGATAGACAGGTTGAGGTGACTGTGACTTTGTTATATATATATATATATATATATATATATATATATATATATATATATATATATAAAACTAAACCTTGGAAATCCTGATTGAGAGGCCATACATACATATATATCCTACATATATTTAGCCATCAAACATGTCCTACTGCTGAACACATCCAGGCTAAAGGGGTGTAGCATGCTTAGGTGCAAAACACGCTTAGCAGCTAAATGCGTTGAAAAAATCGGACAAAGCAGGCACTTGGATGTTTTTACAGTGTACGTTATAATTGTGTACCTATGTTTTGTACAAAAAAAAAAAAAAAAAAAAAAAAAAAAAAAAAAAAAAAAAAAAAAAAAACATTTCAGGTCATTTTAATGTCTTTTCATGCAAGAATGTTGTCTAACAAATGGGGTTGATACAATGTTGTTATCTGACGTTGATCCCACTTTCAAATCCAACGTTTATCCAACGATTTATCAACGTTATGGTTCAACGACTTATCAACGTTATGGTTCAACGTTGTTTCAACGTTAAAACAACATAATTTGCCCGCTGGGAATTGTTGAATCGTTTTTAGCAATTTGACAGTTATATCGGTTGAAAGATAATTGTGCTGATGTGAGGGCTTCAAATTGTACATGTTCGTGTGTGTGTGTGTGCGTTTGAGAGAGAGAGAGAGAGAGAGAGAGTGAGATTAGCATTTTATATACACTCTATCAAAAAAACCATTGCAGTTCCTCCTACCCATCAAGCAACGTGCAATTTTGAAGATAATTGTGGGTTTCTACAGGATATGACAACCTTTGCAGGCTGGCTTATCAGCAATGGTTCTTCACTGGTATCAGCAGATCATACACTACAAACCCGTTCAGGTAATGTGTTTGGTTTTTTACTCAAACGTGTACACGTGTGTCTGCCATTTCTGAATTCATGCTGTATACTTTAATATATAACGCGCCTGCAGCAGTAATGGTAGTAGTAGGGAGGGAACCTGTACATGTTTTCAAAACTAGATGATAAAATGAATGTAAGACTGGGTTCCCATCCCTGTATCGATCCATCTGGATCTCCCTGGGGAGTCTCACTAAACTGCTATCAACTTAATCGGCTTCAATGTCTGTCACGCCTACCGAATGAGCTATGGGGTATAGATAATTACCCCCTAACATCTTTTCTAGGCGTGACAGACATTTAAGACGGTTAAGTTGATAGCAATATAGTGAGCCTCCAAATATCTGTGGGAATGGTCCCTAATGGTTAGCCGCAATAATCTGGATCAGAACATGCGATAAATGTCATCTGTACAAAGTAAAGGAAGACTGGCCACTGCCAGGGGCAATCCTAGGGAGGGGCAATTGTTCTTCTCAGAGAGGCTAACCATATTCAGGGCATGTACGCACAGTCAGAAAAGCATGGATTGTGGGAACGTTACTAATGAAGCCACTGGTAGAAGTACTAGTATGCATTAGTCTGAAGTCTTGAACACTTAAATATGCACTTCGATGACGAATGAATAGTTGTCAAAAACAAAAGGGGCCGGTGTGGTACTTCCCCATGTACTACTCTTTATGTGTGCATGAAAAGTCAAGCTCTAAATTAAATCTGCCCTGACTAAACCAATATCCGGTACCGACGGTTAGGCTCGTCTTAATTGTATAAGAAGCGCGTTTCCAACCCATACCTCTTCCTCTTCCTGCCAATCCGAATACAGCGGCCTCTTCTCCATTTACTACGGTCGACATAGTTCTTTCTACAGATAATGGCGCGCAAGCGTAATAGGCCGATTTCCTCTGGTCGTGAATTCAAACCATTTTCTGTGATGGGTGGAATGAGTTTACCACGCATGCACACCCTTAACTGAGGAAAGGTGGGAGGGTAGGGAGGGAAGGAGATTTTAATTAAAACAAGAAAATTGACTGACCCCTTATTTCCTTTATTATAGGCCACTATTTGTACGCCAGGAATACCTATGGCACAGGCGCTGTTGCCCGGTATATCTCGCCGCCCCTGGCTAATAATACAAGATATATCGTGTCCTTCTGGTACATGTTCCCTAGTTTCTACAGATCAGCTCTGCGTGTCCTGGTCCATGGGACAGAGAGAGACGTTAGGTGGTCAAACAGCGGCTACAGCGACATCACTTGGCGCTATGGGTACTTCATCCTGACCATGAGCCGCGATTTCCAGGCAAGTGTGAAAAAAGCTTGGTGGTCTATACGGGTACAGCGGCTATAAACATTCCCACAGATAATGGCGTGCTTGCGCTATTAGCCCATTTTCATAGCTCGTGTGAGCATGCCTACTTCCGGTAGTGCGGGAAGCCGCTGCTACTTGACCAGAAGTACCGTAGTAGTGCACACATCTAGAAGAGAATGCAACACGCACAGCTTAATTGGTGCATGCGCGTCATTAACTGTGGAAAAGTGAATTAAAGCTGGATTTGGAGGTCAGTAAATGTGGCGGTTAGCATTGCAGCAAGAATGGTGGCGGGTACAGAGTATCCCTTAAATGTTAGGTGCATAGTCACATGACATCTGCCTTGCCAATTTTGTTTCATGTAATTTCATATTTTGTAGATAGTGTTTGAGGCATCTCTGCTAAGCAGCTCTTCAGCTTACATCGCCGTAGACGATATTAACATTGCCCGATACACTGGTAAGACCGAAGTTATGAGAAATGAAAAGAGATGTCAGTTTAGAACAAAGAACTTATCCCCATAGGGGCCACATATTGCTGTCGTTAAGATAAACTTCCTCTGTGCCCAATAAATTCATAAAGCTGCTTGTGAAAAGTCTCATATATATATATATATATATATATATACTTTTTAAAATAGCATTCAAATTTGAGCTATGGAGTGGAATGTCAAAAATACATATAGCAATGCATACATTTCAAAAAATATTTTTAATGTCTTCATATTGTCTGCAGAATTGGGTCGATCCTTGTTGTCTGTAGGAGGCCTTACTGTCCTCGCAATACAACCGTTTTCTTCACTTATTTACAGGGTCGATGACAACGCTAATGCCAACGCCATCAGTGAATAGCAGCAATGTGCGTCTGGTTGGCGGCGTGTATGCACGTGAAGGACGAGTTGAGGTCTTTTACCAAGGACGGTGGGGGACTGTTTGCGACGACGGTTGGGATTTGAGAGATGCACTTGTGGTGTGCAGGTGGCTAGGATACTTGTAAGTTGTTGTAATGCTTCTCTAACAGTAATATGAGGTACATATTTTGCAGTATTCATCAACTGTGCAGTTGGTAGGTCGTATCTCATATAAAGAACGAATATATAGTGACAGGCCCGTAACACCATCAAGATGCACAATGGTCAGTATGACCACCCTCTAACAGAAGTGAAGAAATGGAAGCTACTATGGTACGGACATGAAACATGATCATAAGCTATTGAAAATATAATATTCCAAGAAATAGTTGAAGGCGGTAAGCAAAAGGCGGTAATTTATGGAAAGACAAGTGTCTGTTTCACAAACATGTCTGGTTATGTGTAGTGTTAACAACATATGGTCATTCTTATTTTTAAATTGCTTTTATTAGCGTTCTTTAACTTCTTTTAAATAGTGCAAGGATGTTCATAATGGTTGTCACACTCTCAAGGTTTTAGCAATCTTATAGGCTTCAAAGTTCTATGTGTGTTGATATTTTGGCTGCTTTCTTCCCCATAGTAATCAGTGATCATTCCACAAATCTGCCTCGTGCCCCTGTCGCCCGTACTGGGCCCGTAACTCGAAAGCATCGCGCATTGCGACCGAGCGCAAGCGTCTCGATTCCATAGCTCGCCCATACTCGCCCCACATAATATATTGTGGCCTCTATGTGATATCGCCATTCGCAATACGCGATGCCTTCGAGTTACGGGGCCTGATCTTATCATCATCAACATTGCCAGAAGAACCAGCACTTTATCTGCCACTGCAATTGCCATTGCTCCAGAACCAGAAGTTCATCATTTACGTTGTTTTCCCGCCAAACTGTGAACAGGATCAAGACTCATCCGATATGTCTATGGGACAAGAAGAATGGACAAGAAGTCTTACTTAACAAGTAACAACTGCGTGAACAGGATGCGTTGTATTACTGGAGAACCGATGTTACAAGAAAATGCACATGAAATCTAGGCCGCTAGAGACACTTCTGTTCATGTTCGGGATACTTTGTATTCCATTAATTCTTTTGGAAGGAAACCTCAACACCGTGGCATCCAGAGACGTTATACAAATTTATTCTATCCCATTGGCTTTTGCAATATTCGAAACAATTTGTGTCTGCATTGATACAACTGAACAATAAACAAAAATTTGTAACAAATCCATAAATTTTATAAGGTTTCACAACCGTTGTGCATAAAATATATCTATGCTACAAAGGAAAAGGTGTCTAATAAGATATACGTTGACAATAAATATTCCATGTGAAGCACAAACAACTATTGTATCATATTGAATTTTCAGTATTGTAATTTAGTATTTTAATTTTAATTTTTGTTTCTGTTTTGATTTTATCGGTTTAATTTTTGTTCAATGAGAAGAAACGGTATATGGATATATTCAAAGTGATACACCATTCTGAAATACCAAAAGTTACGTTTAGTGGATTCCAGAGGTGAATTATATTGCACTCAGTACATACATATAGCTTTATTTTTAGTGACGCGGATGCTGCATACGACAATGCTCGCTTTGGAGCTGGTTCTGGCCCAATCTGGTTGGACGAAGTTTCTTGCACCGGGGAAGAAAACTCCCTGTGGGAATGTCGCCATCCTTCTGCTGGTAATCACGACTGCAGCCACAGCGAGGACGCCGGAGTCCGCTGTTCAGGTACGCGTGTTTTTCTGCCCCTGCAGTCTGCAGGAAGAGTAAAGCTTTAACAAATCTGACGAACCACACAGATAGAAATGTCTTTTTTTTACTTGCCGAGAAGAACCCCGAAACTTAGAGGACAGTAACTAGAAGCATATTCTAGTGACTGCCAAGATGATCGTCACCAAATGGCATCAGGTTGTTGCGTCTGTTCGCTTTGTGTGACTGTGTGTGTTCAAATGGGTACTGCGCTGTGAAATTTATTTTGTTATAATAATAATAATAATTATTATTATAATAATATTTATTTTTTCCAACTAAAAGTTGGATTTTTCATGCACTATCCGCCAGCCTCATGGTGACGTCGTGGAGTCCCAAAGAAAGGAGTTTCTGTAATAGTAACGAATGATCGACTTTTTATTAAACGCCTTAGTGTGTTCTACCAGTAGCATTTTAGCGTATACTAGCAGAGACATGCCGATTCTAGGGACTTGCAGTTGATATATAATATGCATGCGAGTATTTGCGAATGCCTATGTGTGTTTGGAATAAAATCAACACTAAACGTTTGCCCATATTTCTCAAATTTTACTTATTAAGGTCAAACGACCACTGTAAGGCCAACCGTGGCTATTGGCACCATCCCAAGCGTGGTCTGTGCCAACACGACCATGAACCAACCTCTGGCCAGAACCTGTGCCCAGTTTGTGGTCTGTGGAGGGTTGCCATACCTGGCCAGCTGTGGCAGCGGCTTTTGGTTCTCAAAGAAAACCAGGACTTGTGTTGCGTTTTCAACACTGAGCAATGAGTGTTACCCAAGTGGAAGCAGGAAACCAGGTAACCTGTATCATTGTTATTACCAAATATTATGAGACAAGGTAGGCCCAACCCAGATAATGCTATTTTGGCTAAGATTTACATTTAAATAAACATTTTAATCAAGAGTGTAGTCACTTTGGCATTACATTTGATTTGAGCAATATACTACTGCTGAAGCGGCTTTGGTAGTTTAAAAAATCGATAAACATCGCTTGGGAAAGGGACTTATTTAATGGCTAACTTTATCGAAATGCTTTTTTTATTTTTTGAGGCATATATTATACATATGAACATATCTTTTCATGATTTTATTCTATAATCATTGCACCTAATGACATGGTACATGAGAGAGAGTGAATGTTCTGATTCCTTGAAGATTATCATTTTTCTTTACTGGTATTAAGAGAACACCCTTCATTGTTATATAGTAATAACAGCGCTATTCATTGCAAGTTTCCTATTCTTTGATTCCAGACATCGCAACCAACTGTTCTGTTGGTTGGCAGACAAATGAAGGCCACTGTTATAAATATATAAATACTAGCATGACGTACATGGACGCTAGTAGATATTGCCATTCCATGGACTCAGACTTGGTTAGCATCCATTCTGCCAGAGAACAGTCCTTTGTCAGTTCCCTGTTGAGGTACGTGCAGATCTGTTTACATAGGTTTTCACAAAAATCATAAACGGCTGTTCCAAACTTGTGTGTCTGGGAATAAGTCTACCGATCGATCCGTTTTGATTTTAACATAGTGCAAGTCACTTGCTATACAAAAACACACACGACAGACGCATACACAAGCAAACGTACGCTGCAATGATGTTATGGTGACATGTAAATGCATATATAGGAAACGGCTTCATAATAACGGGCAATAATACATCCAATTTTCGGGATGTTGTTCTCCAGTTCGCTCAGGTTGCACAGTCTATCATGTGGACTTATTTTGTTGACCACATCTGATGAAAATGAGCAATTATTCACTGTTTTATGAACCACTGCGCTAACTATTAAGCTTGACAAAATGACTTTTACGCTAAATTACTCAATTTAGATTTTCATTACAGTAACAAACCATACCCAATGTACCTGTATCAAACCGACACAGGTAGGTAGTTTAACAGTCTGATTTACACAGGTATCGAACTTAAGTTGTATTTTATATGTATTTTTTATTACAGCAACGTCACTTTATTGGTCTACATTGGCTATGATGACATCTGGTCAGAGGGACAATGGCAATGGGCAGACGGGTCTGATGGGGCAGTCGGGAACTGGACCGAGTTCAACCGCGGGACATTTCAAATAACTGAAGATTGCGCGGCACTGTATCCGGGGGGCCAGCCACGGTGGTATGACGTGGAATGCACTCTGAAACTGCCCTTCATTTGTAAAAGAACGAGACAATTAGTTAGAGGTCATTGGATATATTTGACCACAGTGCCTTTCACCTGACTGAATACAAAACTCATCCAAATCAAAATAAATACTCCAGACGCGTTTGCCTGTACCTTATATTACCGACAGTGGAATCAACATTCTGTCGGAATATGAAATTCCTGAGCAATACTGTAGCAGAAGAATTCCGTATATCTCATTCTAGATATGTACAACCGTATATAGTGGTTTACATGTATTTACAGTCCACAGAACAGAGGAATCAGGGAACTATGGTAATATTTAACAACTGGTATACGCCCTAAGTGTAGGGTCAAAGTCTGATGAAGGCCGGCATGGTCTATGGCGGATGAATACCAGTGGAACTGAATCACTTTTGGTACCGCATATATTTTTTATCCCAGAATAATATTCAAGATTTTGATTGCCGTATCTCTCTCACACACACACACGCACACACACACACACACACACAAACAGAACAGCACCATACGTTACATGCCGTTATTCAGTGTCTCTATTTAGGGGCCACGTCTGTATGTTACGTTTCTTTACTGTAATTGCTGTTCCGCTGTAGGGTGCAGACCCAAAGTAAAGATTTATATTTGAGACAAAAAGTAAAGTAATGAGTTTTAAACTTGTCTGAGAAAAACTGGAACAAAAATCAGACCAACGGTTTGAATATTTCAACCACTGTGTCATCAAATTTGTAGAGTAAACAGAAACCAACTGAGATTAAGGGTAGAATCAATCTGCTGTTGTGGTTGAAAGTGAACATCGTCTCAAATAATAACTGCTGGTTGCTTAGCTATACAATCTATCAATAAGTAACAATCAGTCGGTATTTTGGAATGAAACGTATTTCATCATTGGGTTTGATACACGAGAAGCGAGTAATATGGGATATCTTTGCTAAACATTCATAATCCAGCTTTCTACTCGAACTTTGTTTGTGATAGATATGTGATGGGTCATGTTTGTACAGTTGCTATCCGTAACATTAAATGCATTTTCTTAGAATTTAAGCAAAAGAATCTTTTCAGACCTGCAGGTTTTGATGTCATTTTTTGGTAATTTTATACGTCATTGCAGATTTACATATTTAATTTTTATAATTGGGAAAATAAATCTTACACAGTTTTTTAGTTTGAATGATACACGTGCCCATTGGTTAAATGACTAATCTTTTCATTCAAGGAGCCTATGGAGAATTAAGCAGAATATACCTAACATTTTTTACAATTCTACCTGTACTTAGATTCTGTATCCGGAAAAATATTATTTGAAATAAAACTACATTTTAAACCTGTCTTTCTATTTTCATGTACCATGCTGCAATTTTCTCATTTTTTTCAGAACTTGCTTTATTTCCGAAAAGGTCTAATCATCCCATTTGAATATTTCATATTATACTTTTTATATATTTTGCTTTTTGTGCAAATTAAAAGAAAATATTATTATTACATAAATACATCGTGAGAGAAATATCTTCATCTTAACAGTGGCTGTCTAGATTCAGCGGATGGACAGTACATACCCCTGCATGTTGATATACACGGTAGTGTGCACAAAAGGTACATTTTGATAACAATAGCACACTATTCACAGTACAGGGGATTCATATTTTCTATGTGCCCCTCACATCCAACATGATATACGCAATAAACAATTGTATTGTTCTGGTCCACAAGTAATTATTGCAAATTGGATATCTCTGACTTCAGTATCCCGTGATTTACAAGGTGTGGGGGTGTTCACAGTATTATAATGCACAGTCCCAAAATGCGTCTATAAATATCCCCACACTTAGGCGTTAAGTAGCAATCTGTAGCACGTGTTATCCGACTCTTACGATGTTTAGTTTTTAAAAGATACGAGGGCCTCTGGTGGAGAGAAGTTATCAGTTTAAATACTTTTACGAGACGAGCATCGAACAAAGAACCTGCCGTAAACAGTACGTAGGAGGAAGTGTTTAAAAAAAAAAAAAAAAACATAACGAAACAGTTGACGTTGAAAAAGATGACGGGACCAAGGCCGAAAACTGAGGTAATTCAACAAAGCAAGCACTTTTACGACAACTGAAGGAGATCTGGTTGTTGAGATACTGATACAAACCGGATGATAGAACTGTGGCTAAATTAATGAGGAGGCTTGCGGATTAGTGATTTATTAGAGCCACGGAAATGAAGGATTGCTAGGTCAATGCATGCAATCAAGTAGTAATTGGATTTCAATCCCGTGGAATATCTGATGTTTCCGATGTACAATTAGAATAAAAACGTGTTAATACTGCTCGTCTTTCCACTGGTACGCAGGTTTAAACGGCATGCTGAGATTAAAGCAGTCAATACGGCCGCCTTTGGCCCTTTTGTTTATGCTACTGAGTTTTAAGCCAGGGAATTGTGATGAATATGGTGAGTAGAAAACCGGAATTGAAAAGAAGTGATTAGAAATAAAAAAGTTTAATTTGGTCTTTTGTTAACTTTACTGATGCGTTTGATAAATCGTACATTTTAAAATAACGCCATTTGTAACTCAGTGAGAACGAGTGAAGATATCACAGTGGTACAAAGGTTCTATTTTTTTCAATTTATGTTTGAGTTTGAATGGCAACTGAAAGTCCGATATTTAGTTTTTTTATAAGGCCGATTTTCGAAAGAAGATTGTCTTTTCCAATCTCCAGTGGCTTGTCATTCAAAGTTACTAGCATAATTTTCACTTCGTACTTATTATGGAATTTTAAAGAATTAAGCACAATGCAGCTGTAAGTGTCATGGTTTCAACCACAGTTATCGTATTTTATCACATTTTGTTTCAGCAAACTGCCGCGGTCCTCTAGGAATGCAGTCTGGCGCCATTCCAGACTCTGCCATCACAGCAAGCTCTTCATATGAAGTGGAGACCGTAGGTGCCAAATTTGCCAGGTAAGGTGATTTTTACCCGTTGGAATACAATTAATGAAAAGATCGGGGTATTGATTTACAAAAAATAAAATAAATAAATAAATAAATAAAATAAATAAATAAAAATGAATCCTCGAGTTGGCGTTCGTCTGTCCAACTTCATAGTGTCAGTGGTATATTTGCGACACTGCCTGGGTCCTATATGTATAATAATTGAAAATAAAATCCATAACAACAGCATACGGACAAGTAGAAATGCAATATTACCAATCCACACATATATGCAATGGGAACATATTATGTGACTTACTAGTTTGAACAGGTCAGCTGAATTAAATGTCGGATTGTGTTTAATTACCTTTCATTGTGATTTATTCGTATATATTGTTACCGCATTTCAGAATTCGTACAGAGGAGGGAGGGGGAGCATGGTGCCCACGCCATCAGATTGCACCCGGCGTGTACGAGTATCTCCAGATGGATCTCCAGTCATTGCATGTGATCACCTCGGTGGAGACCCAGGGACGGTTTGGAAATGGGCAGGTCAGTGGTGCATATGAATATTCTTGCACACATACATCATGAGCACAACCAGTTTGAAAAGCACAATTCTTCTCATCTTCCGTGATAAATTCAGAGTTATTATTTCAACAGAACTCCGATTTATAAACTAACAAATTGCGGGTTTTCAAAACAGGGAAAACCGCTGATTGATGGGGAATTTACACACATTAAAATGGCCAACGGAAAAGATAAAGCATTCCCCGGATATAAAATACAGAACAGGAATTGGTTCCAGAGTTTGAGAACGTGTCACATTTCCTTGATAGATGGCAGAGATTCGATAAGTACAATCTGTGCTATAACCTCATCTGCCAGGGACAACCTATTATGCCCCCTTTCTAAGCGGGGTACATTGGTTAGCGCATGTTGGTTCGTCCGTCGGTTGGTCCATAACAAGACCTTGTCCGACCACTATTTCCGAGTTATTGTTGAGCCCAGCATTTATAATGATTAGCGTAATTCAAGTGTTATTGATGATTTATGTTGACCACCAATTTCTACCCATGTTCTGATTTCAGGGGCAGGAGTATATGGACAAATACCTGTTAGAATACAAGAGGGAGGAGGATGGACCCTGGACGAGATACAGGGATGAAAATGGCCCTAAGGTATGCCTGTATGGACTAACTACCAAGTAAAGATTACTTGTTTGGTTTTGCTGATACGTTTCATGTATCCCCTCATATTACCTACAGTTTTCCCACTCAGCTACCAGTAAAACACCGTGTTAGTAACTTCCACTATCTTTGAACCAACACAACTGTCACAAATAAGAAATCAAAAAGTCCACTGCTTCAGCTAGGTTACCAGTATGGTCTGGTTCTGCATCAGCGGTCTTACCTATTTATGACAAAAACATCAATATATTTTCTTTTAGATCTTCCGAGGCAACACAAACACTTACCTAGCCGAGCAAAGGGAGGTGGATCCTCCAATTATAGCCAGGAAGATCCGTTTTATACCGTACAGCGACAAACCCAGCACTGTCTGTACAAGGGTGGAGCTCTACGGATGCCCGTGGGAAGGTAAGTCCGCTAGGAGTAACACGTTGTCTCGATCTTACATCCAACGTAGGCAATGCATGTACCTGTGGTAGGTGCCTAAATGTAGCATTCCAGGCCGAAAACTAAGATAATCTGCAGAAGCTAGCCATTTTGAGTAACTAGCGAAATTTCCACTTCTTACTTCTCTTGGAATTAGAATTGGGCACAGTGCAGCCATGTGTCGTATTTTCAACTAAAATCATTGTGTAAAATATTTTGTTTCAGCAAACTGCCGCAGTCCTCTAGGAATGCAGTCTGGCGCCATTCCAGACTCTGCCATCACAGCGAGTTCTTCATTTGAAATGGAGACTGTAGGTGCCAAATTTGCCAGGTAAGGTGGTTTTTACTCGTTGGAATGCGTATAATGGAAAAATAGGGTTATGATAAAAAAAAAAAAAAATTCCTAAGGTTGGCATCCGTCCGGCTAACTTCATGGGGTCGGTGACATATCGATGGCACTGCTGTATAATAACTGAAAATAAACTTCATGTAAATACATGAAAATTATCAAAGACAAGCCTAAATATTTCCGTACCGTTAGCTTATATCACCTAGCGGTGAACATCTACTCACATCAGTCCGATGAAGGCCTTCGAATATTTAGGCTTGTTTGATAATTTTCATGTATGATCCAACTACCAAGCTAATTAACATTTTTGCTCATTCATGTAAATAGTATACGAAAAGGAAAATATATGAATGCAATATTACCAATTCAAACCTGCGTCAGTTCTGTTAATGGTAGAATTATGTTTTATTAGAATTCATTGTGATTTAATCATAGATGTAGTTGCCGCATTTTCAGAATTCGTACAGAAGAGAAAGGGGGAGCATGGTGCCCACGTCATCAGATTGCACCCAATGTGTACGAGTATCTCCAGATTGATCTCCAGTCATTGCATGTGATCACATCGGTGGAGACCCAGGGACGGTTTGGAAATGGGCAGGTCAGTGGTGCATACATGTGCACACATGCGCACACGCGCACTGGGCACACACACACACACACACACACACACACACACACACAAACAGCAGTACCAGGAATGGCAGTCCGGAGCCCCATATGATTAGTACAGGTCAGGGTTTGTCGGATTATTGGGGTTAGTATATGGGACGAGTGTCACCTGTATAGTGCAAAGTGACGGGAAACGGACTACCTGGTTCTTTGCGGACTACCATTCCTGTCACACCGGTTGTTCGGTCCGTAATTATACCGAATCCAGTCATGCACTATTGTATAGTTGCTGTTGAATCCAACATTTGTTTTTTTTTTGTTCCTCAATAAAATGTGTTGTTGATAATAACAATGCTATCCACCCATTTCTTCACATGTTCTGATTTTAGGGGCAGGAGTATATGGACAAATACCTGTTAGAATACAAGAGGGAGGAGGATGAACCCTGGACAAAGTACAGGGATGAAAAGGGGCCCAAGGTATGTCTATGGCAACTAGGTTCCCTCTCAGCTACCAATGAACCACGGTGCATATTACTTCTAGAATTTTTGAATCAACAATTGTCATAGAGCTAACAAAACGTTCTCTGTTTAAGCTAGGCCACTCGTTTGTCCTTGTTCTGCTTCAACAGTCACTGGAATAAGATTCTGTCAATGGGTGACCTTTGCATATCAAATATCACATTTTATAATTTGCCAAGAGGAGCTTGCCACAAGGGACACCACCCAGGTCGTTATTACAAGGATATAACTATGCCTGTGTCTTGGTCTCGACTACTGATAGTAAACATGACTAAATAATTCCTCATGTTAAAAAAACAAGAATCATCCACCCTAGGACACTTGCACCCCTAGGAATATTAAGGTTCTATAACTGTTTTCCTCTAAGTAAAACATGCAATACAAATACTGTTACATATAAGATTATTCACCTATAAAAAATCCAACTATTAAGCAGCCCAGTGACCTTTCACCTCAGTGTTTTTCTTCAAAGTAAAACGTACATGATAAAAACTGTTTGATGAAACATTGTTAAGTCCGAGAAAAAAAACTAAATAAATGGAAAAAAAGAGAAATTATTAAGCGCCCCCTGGACCCCACCCACATGGATATCTATATGCCACTGATGGGTCTTGCCTGAAGATAATAAATAACATCAATATGTTTTGTCTTTTAGATCTTCCAGGGCAATACAAACACTTACCTAGCCGAGCAAAGGGAGGTGGATCCTCCAATTATAGCCAGGAAGATCCGTTTTGTACCGTACAGCGACAAACCCAGCACTGTCTGTACAAGGGTGGAGCTCTATGGATGCCCGTGGGGAGGTAAGAACGCGGGAAAAGGCCGGAGGTGTTGGGGGTTGGGGTAGAAAGCGATTTTGCCTGAACGAAAAGTATGATGCATATGTAATGCAACAGGTAACCTATGATTGAGTATTTGATGCTAGGAACGACTGTCGTGGAGTGGAATCCACTTGCTGGTGAGCCATTGAGCTAGCTGATTGAAATCTACTAGAAAGATGTCGCTGAAATTGTAGCGCTAAATGGTGTCATAAGGGTGCATATTAAGAGAAAAGGCAGATCAGTCCAATTTCTGGACGTTCCTCTGCAGAATGAAATATTTGGCAACACTTGCACGTTGAGGGCAAGTTGTGGAATGACTAAAAGACCTATCCTTTGGAGACATGGCATTGCCAGCTACATCAAGATTTCATTCATTACCCAAAGTTTTACTTCAGCTCCATAAATTATTAAAATAATCACTTTTAACGGGTGCAAAATTTATGTTATTGCAACAAAGTTGAAGTGGATATGTCATCCAATATAGAATATTGACTTTGTCTTAGAATTTCTATAATGTAATAATAGTAGGCATGGTACACTTCGAAAACTTAAATGTTGGGTGTTCTCTAACTTCTTTGAGAAGTATATAATCCAGTATATGTAAATCTTGAAAAAAGGTTAATATTGCTGTGTAGGATTTGTTGTCATCCCATTCGTGTAAGCAGATTATAATTCAACATCCTTTTCAACTTTTCCAGGGTCCAGTTAAATACAAGCAGAACAAGATTGAGATAAACACCTCTTCAAAGAAGGACAGTTTTATTTCAAAAATAAAGTATTTTTGCATCTTTATAATTCAGCATCCTTTTCAACTTTTCCAGGGTCCAGTTAAATACAAGCAGAACAAGATTGAGATAAACACCTCTTCAAAGAAGGACAGTTTTATTTAAAAAATGAAGTATTTTTGCATCTTTAATATTGGCAAAGTTAGAAAAGAGTATAATCGGACAAATAAAAAAAAAAGTGTAACTTGGAGCATGTGCCAAGAGTTACTTGGTTAAATTAATCCCAGGGAATTTGTCAGTTACATGTTCCAAAGAATACAGTTAACAAAATGTCAAACCTACTGTGGCAAAAAATATATATTATCAAAAACTTTAACTATTAAGTATAGAATTTAATAAAATCCAATAATGAAAAATTACGATTCTGACTTTTAGCCTTGGACAACTGGAATGTATCATTTTTAGTCTATGTTCACCTTTGATCACAAAAGTGGATCCATTCCGTCCCTGATCCAAGTTGATTTTCTACTACAGTTATGATGACACCTTGGATAGAGCATTCAAACCGTCGCTCATGCAAGATAAGATTTAAAAACGTTATTAACAGCTTGTCTCACAAAAGATATATCAGCACGTCCACGCTACAGGGTGTGGGCAACATGGCGCCGATCTTGTGAGCACGCTTTCCGCTTAGAATATGCATCGTATTTTCCTTTATATATCCATAAATTTTGGAAAATGTAACATTAAACACACAAAAATTATTAGGAAAGAGTTCACTTAACTTCACAGAGTTGAGATGAGATCCTGAATCGGCGGTTAAAAAGCGATGACATGAAATTGTCTCTTGTGTGCACGTAATTCGGTTATAATAGGCCCCATTCAGGATGGATGATCCCAGTACTTACTGATCCGCCGATTAAATATGGCCGACCGCATTTCAAAAGCGATACCGCCGATTCCCGATGGTCTCCCGGCCTCCACACGCGCCGTCGCTGCAGGGGCCTATAGCAATTAAACCTCGGAGCCGAGATTTAATCCATTCTAATGAAAACATAATATGAAAAAGGGAATAGAGGTACATTTTAACCCCTATTGATAGTTACCAGGTGATAATAATAAAACATATGGGAATAGAACAAAAAGACAAGACAATGAGAGATGGTAAATACTAAATATTGACTGTTGTTTAGTATGAATTAAAATAACAGTGACAGTAATGTTTATAAGCAGCTGAAATAATTGGGTTGTTTATAGAAATATTTATTTTACTATTTAATACAATATTGGCACAAGAATTGTTTTAATTGCGATAAGGATATGAAAAATGTTGTTTTCAAATATATTACGTGCCAGTTATACAGTATGTATGGCTTTGCAGGTCTGACAGTTCTCAATTTGGCGTTCATTAAAAACTTTTAAATTTAACACTGGTATTTGACGATTGTTTAGGTATGCTACAACATAAATGTTTGTGAACTTATGATTTCGATAAAACGATTCCATGTTGACGTAATTTAAATGTTTTGTAAAACAAGGAGCCAGTTTGTGAACTCTCAGCACAAAATTACCTTGCAATAACAGTATAGAGGTGAGTGAAATTCCATATCATTTACGTTGCAACCGATTTCGTAAAGAATGTCACTGAGCGACTACATGTTGGAAAAAATCTTATTAAAAAGAAAACGTAAAAGTGCGGCAATTTCAGTCTGTCTATTGTCACGGCATTTGTTATGTTTCTTACACAATATCCCACACCTAAAACACTTGCTATGCATCGCATTCGTTAGACAAGTCATATATCGGGTTTTGGAAACCGACTTGGTCGCCGGCCTTGCCGCTGGATGACGTTTTCTTTGAGCGTATCTTGGGAGGCACATTAGGCGAATCGCTGTTATCTAGAATTAAAACTTTATCCTCTGGCCCACTCCGTCTGCGTCTGCAAGGTAAGCAACTCAACTGATATTTTCCAAGTTACAAGTCAAACAAGATGAAATATTTGCATTATACTTGTCACATCAAGTTCATAGTTTTCCGCTACAAATTATATCCACAAGTGGTCCATTTCTAAGAAAAAAAAACGAATGAAATTTAAATATTAAACATACGTGATGGAAGTTTATCTGACGAGAATGAAAAAAAGCTCGCAATACAACTCATTAAGTCTATCCCAACTACTCACCGACATATTACAACGGTGACTACTATTAACACGATAATAGCGACCAACCCTGCCGCGCCGCCTCCTATAAATGTCGCATTTTCTGAAACAATACAAACATATGTGTATTGATTGCTATAGCATTTACTTGGATATGGATCGTACTTGCTGGGCACGTGTTGGTTGTACAGGACGGAAGGGTTATTAACCGTCCAGAAGATTGATATTGCCAAGAAACATCAAGGACGGTTTCTATGTATTGAATTGCATCGTAGTTGTTATTATTATTATTTTATTAACATTTACCAAGCAGTGTTGATGTTTACCTACAGAGTTTCAAAGCCGCCGTGTGCAATTCAAATATTGAGATAGGACTTGTAAACAAACTCTTGAACTGATGACCAAAGACACTGGTTACGGATTTAGTATGCTCACTGGGAGTGTTGCTTTGAAATGTGAACCACGCATGCTCACAACTGTCCCCTCACCTTTCAAAACGGATACAACTCCACTCCCAGTTTGCCTCTCCACGCCTGGCCTCGAAGGGGGAACGATCGGAGTCGATGATTTGACTGTTGTGGACTTCCCCGGTTTAGGCGAAACTGTTTCCCTCGACTTGGAAATGTTTGGGATATTTGTAGGCGAAGAGGTGTCATCAGGCGTTACAATTTGCTTGCTGATAGTTATGCCAGGATCCGTCTTCTTTGATGGTTTTGAATTTAGAGTAGTCACCTTGGTTCCAGGAACCGTTTTTGAAGTGATGGGCCTGCTCATTGTGGTAGACCTAGTAAACGCTGTAGGTGTTGCGGTGTTGGTAGTACTAATTGGTATTGTGGTTGTAAGTATGGGGGTTGTTGTTTTTGGTGTTGTGTTTTTTGCTGTGAGGGTTGTAGTTGCAGTTGTTAGGGATGCGGTTGCAGTCGTAGAAGTTGTGGTTGGAGGGATTATAGTGGTAGTTGTTGGTGTTGTAGTAGAAGTTGTTGGGGTTCTGGTTGTTGATGGCGTTGTGGCTGTAGTTGTGGGAGTTGTAGTGGTCGTTGTAGTTGTTGGTGTTGTGGTTGTAGTTGTGGGAGCTGTTGTTGTTGTAGGTGTTGTAGTTGTAGTTGTTGGTGTTGTGCTAGTTGTTGTAGGTGTTGTAGATGTTGGTGTTGTGGTTGTAGTTGTGGGAGTTTTAGTGGTTGTGGGAGTTGTAGTGGTTGTTGTTGGTGTTGTGGTTGTAGTTGTGGGAGTAGTTGTTGTAGGTGTTGTAGTTGTAGTTGTTGGTGTTGTAGTTGTAGTTGTGGGAGTTGTTGTTGTTGTAGGTGTTGTAGTTGTAGTTGTTGGTGTTGTGCTAGTAGTTGTGGGAGTTGTTGTTGTAGTTGTTGGTGTTGTGCTAGTAGTTGTAGGAGTTATAGTAGTAGTTGTTGGTGTTGTGGTTGTAGTTGTGGGAGTTGTTGTAGGTGTTGTAGTTGTAGATGTTGGT